CAATGTAGGGTGTTTTTTGAGGGGAATGACTGTCTTTGCTTTTGTATTGGTATTCCCAGAGCTTAAGCAAAGCCTTCATAATGCTCTTCCTTTTTTCCTTCCTCCATTCTTCCTTTCTTCTCCAGAAATCACCTGTCCTGAAAAAGCATGGTATTTCATCTTCAGAAAGACCACAACATTCAGACATTCTTAGCTAGAATTATGGATTCTAATTAGATCCAAAAACAAACAAACAAAAAACCTGGCCCATCACTCACCCTAAGCCCATGCACTTGCGTGATATTATATCTGAGCAGTTACCTATCACATCAGTAGAGCAGAGGTACTTTTGGGGACCAGACCTATAACTTCATCCCAGGCAGAAACTCCACCCATTCATGTAGATCAGCAACTTGACCTTGACAACTCCAAACTGACATACAGCTCATATCTTTTTCTTTTTCTTTTTGGAGAGGCAATCAGGATTAAGTGACTTGTCCAGGGTCACACAGCTAATAAGTGCTAAATGTCTGAGGTCGGATTTGAACTCAGGTCCTCCTGACTCCAAGGCCAGAGCCTTATCCACTGTGCCACCTAGCTGCCCCTAGTTCATATCTTTTTCTTGAGGAAACAAAGTCTACCAAGCCAGCAAAGGTCACGGCACCTTTTGCTGATTTAAAAAAGGCAGTGTGCATGGCAGACAGAGACAGGAAGACTTGGGTTCAAATGTCACTTCAGATACTTCCTGGCTATGTCACCCTGGGCAAGTCACTGTACTCAACTGAGCCTCTGGTTCCTGCACTATAAAATGGAGATAATAATATCACCCACTTCACAGGATTGCTGTTAAGATCAGTAGATGTGGAGCTTTTAGGGACAGGGCTGGTTTTTGCCATTCTTTGGATTCCCAGAGCTTAGTACACTTTCTGGCACGTAGTAGGCTCTTAATGAATTTGTTGATGGACTCTTAATGAGTTTAAAAATAAACTTAATAAACTCAATGAGTTTATTGACTGACTAAAGCATTTTACAAGTCTTAAAGGGTTATAGAAATGTGAGCTAGTATCCCAAGACAAAATTATATATTTGGCATATTTTGGGGAGTGCAAGATCAGGTTTGGGGAGGATTTACAAGTCCACAAATTTTATTAGGATCCTTTCTGAAAACCAGTAAGTCAGTGGGTAAACCAGAGGGATACAGTGCATAGAATTACTACATAGTGTTTAGATTTCAACATAGCAAAGAGATTGTAGATTTTGAGCAGGAAGGTCATCTAATCCAACTCTATCATTTTATAAAGAAGGACTCGTTGGTTGAGGAAATTTCAATGACTCGCGGAAGTGGGGTTTGAACCCAGATCCTCTGACTCTAGGGCCAGGGTTCTTTCCATTATACCATGATACCTCCACAGTTTTCAGGTGATACTTATTGAAAAGAGAGAAATATGGGGCAGCTAGGTGGCACAGTGGATAGAGCACTGGCCCTGAAGTCAGGAGGACCTGAGTTCAAATCTGGCCTCGGACCAAACACTTGACACTTACTAGCTGTGTGACCCTGGGCAAGTCACTTAACCCCAACTGCCTAAAACAAAAAAAAAAGAAAAGAGAGAAATATGAGTGACACACTATTAATATTAGGTGGATTTTGGACCTGGTTGAATAACTGGACACAGAGAAGTCACAAGTAGGTGTCAACTTGGAAGGAGGCTCTGGTGGGGTGCCTCAAGGCTCCACCTTTGGGCTGTATCATTCAATCTGCTTCTCAAGTGACTCAGCTGAAGGCATAGATAGAATGCTTGCCAAATTTTCACATGATATAATGCTTGGAGGAAGAGTTAACACTCTGGATGATGGAGTTATTATCCAAAAGGATGTCAACAGGCTAGAGGATTGGGTAGAATCTAAAAGATGAAACTCAATAGGATAAATGTAAAGACTTAGACCTGGGCACAAAAAATCAGCCCCACAAGTATGATATATGGGAGGTATGGAAAGACATAAGTTGTTCTGGAAAAGATCTGGGGTTTCAGTGGACTGCAAGCAGTATGATGTGGCAGCCAAAAAGCTGATGTGATCTTGGGCTGCATTAAGAGAGGTATAGCTTCCAGGAGGAGGGAGGTGAGAAATGCACTGTACTCTGCCCTTGCCAGGCATCCAGAGTCCTTGTTCAGTTTTGGACACCATGTTTTGGGAACGTTGATAAACTGGTGGAGGATGACCAGGATGGTGGAGAGCCTTGGGTTCATGACATGTGAGAACCGGTTGATGGAATCGGGTAGGCTCAGGGGTAGCTGACAGCTATGTTTAATGTCTGAAGAATACATCATGGAGGGATTATGCTTGCTCCATTATGCCCCAGGGGACATCACGGAAATTCCTTTCGCACATGGACAGAACCAGATGGCGCCGGAGGCCCTTCCAGCTCTCAAATTCTGCAATTCTGTGATATTTCCATGTGTGAGGACAAGAAGTGAGCTGGGTTTAGCTGAATCGTAAAATGCATAACGGTGAGTGAATCATGTGAAAAGACCTGTTGGAGCCAGACTGTGAAAGACCTTAAATGCCATAAGAGATGAGGTTTTGCCAGCGAGGCAACATAGGCAGCCGCTAACCCTCGCATGAGCCGAGGATCAGAATTCTACGATGGAGACATCCATGAGCAAACATCCATTCTCTGCATCTAGGATGTTTCAGATCTCCTCTGGATAAGAGCAGAGAAGCAGAGGGAGATACTGAGATGGGAGAAGAGGGCTGTGGGAAGGAGTCAGGCTCAGGATAGTGGGTCACACAGTGAGAAATGGACAGTGGAAAAGGAAGCCGCTGCGAGCGATGGTGTCTCATAGCCATGGGGTGGCGGAGCCTATGAAGCCTCCCAGCTGGTCCTTCTCCCCACTCCAAGCCATCCACTGCACAGTCGCCAAGGTGATTTTCTGAAACAGCACAATGGCACCTCCCCTGCTCACCAGTTTCTGTTGTTGTTCAGTCGTGTCCCTCTCCATGACCTTATTTGGGGTTTTCTTGGCAAAGATAATGGAGAGATTTGTCATTTCCTTCTCCAGCTCATTTTGCAGATGAGGAAACTGAGGCAAACAGGGTTATGTGACTTACTCAGGGTCACACAGCTAGGAAGTATCTGAGGCTAGATTTGAACTCAGATCTTCCAGACTCCAGGCCTGGTGCCACCTCACTGCCCCAGAGTGGCTCCCGATACATGAACTCCTCTGTCTGGCATTTAAAGCTCTTTACAACTGGCACCTTCCAACCTTGCAAGTTCTCCTATATCACTCTCTTCACACACCGTGACTCTGCTATACTGACCAACTTATCATTGACAGAGGTTACTTTGTCTCCTGTGCCTTTATCCTGGCCGTCTCCCTCACCTGGGACGCACCTGCCTCCCCACCTCTGCCTCTTGGATTCCTTCCTTCAGGATTCAGCTGGATGCAGGAGACCTTTCCCACCCCACCCTCAGAGGCTAGCACCTTTTCCTCTAAGCTTACTTTCCATATACTCTGTATATATATTGCATGATAGACATGCTATTTCCCCTGCTGGAGTTTAAGCTCCCTGAAGGCAGGGACTGTTTTTGTGTTTCTGCCTTTCTTCCCCTCCCCACCCCTTAGTTTAACACTACAAAAATCCTTGTTTATTGATTGGATTGCACTGATGCTTCTGTACCATATTCGTGTGTGCGTGTGTGTGTGTGTGTGTGTGTGTGTGTGTGCACGCGCACGTGCATGTAGCTTGTGCCTAGACCAGCCACGGCTCATATTTCTCCTGACTCTAGACTTTCCCGCCTCTGCCCCAGTGACTCTCTCACTCTGGAGCTGCCTGTATCCCTGTGGCCATCCCCCCTTCCCATTAGTGGTTTCCTAACAGGGACCTCCATTTGAAGATGTGCCCAGGTCAGCCATGGCTTATTTCTCTGTCAGCTGCGTTTCTTATTCTCCAGATCTGTCCACCTTGTTCCCTACTCAGGCTCCTTTCTATGGGTCGTATCCTCTTCCCCATGAGTATCTAAGCTTCTTGAAGCTGAGGACTGTGTTTTTGCCTTTCTCTGTAGCCATAGTGCTTAGCATAATGCCTGGCACATAGTTAACTGACTGACTGACTGAGTAGTAGGGGTTCATATCTGTTCAGTGAAAACGCATGTATCCATATCAGCAAATGTCAGTATGGTAGTGGCGTGTACTTGGCGTGTATATCTATGTAAGAGTAACGTGTATGAACCTTCTTCCATGTGGCAGTAGTAGATATCTATTTAGTGAGGAGGTGCACCTCCCCCCCCAGTGGGAGGATGCATCTCTTTGGGAAACAATCAATCAACATTTATTAAGTACCTACTATGTGTCAGGCATCATGCCAGGCAGCGAGGATGCAGATATGAAATTGAAAAGGGCCCTACCCTTCAGAGGCATCTATACTATTGGAATAGATACCATGTATATAAATGGGACCCCAGGATCATAGATCCAGAGCTGGAAGGGACCTGAGAGGCCATGTAGTCCAACCTCCTCATTTTCACAGATGAGGAAATTGAGGTCCAAGGAGTTTATGTGACTTATCCAGGGTCACTAAGTATCTGAAGCAGCATTTGAACCCAGGTCTTAATGTCTCTAAGTCTGGTACTCTGTCCATCATACCATACATAAAAACAATTTATGAATAATTTGGAAGTTGTGGTAGGGATGTGTGTGAGTCTAGATGCCTTTATGGGGGGGGGAGTTATGTCTGTAATACTCATGTGTACCCGAGCCGAAAGAATCCTAGCTCCTGGAGACCCCTTCTGACCCTCATTAGCCACAAGACCTTGATTTGCTCATGGGTAAAACAGAGATGATGATACTAATCCCACCTCCCTGATAGAGCGGCTATAGCAAAAACCCCTGAGCAACCTCAATGAGCTTTGGGAGCTCTCGGAGCAGGGCAGGTGTGGTGGGGATGCTCGTGTGTCTGTTCCAGGGAGGGGGGATGGCAGCGGATGGGGTGGCACCCACCCCCAGCGCCCCACTTCTTCTCACCGTTTCTCTTCCTTCCTTCCTCTTTTGTCACTTTCTGCTGCTGTGCTGTGGCCGTGGCCGTCACATTTTGGGGCGAGGGCCTCCTGGGACTGGGCTTCCCTGATTCGCTGCTAAGGACTGAGCCGTTCTCACTGGGCGACCTGCTGGAGGTAACCATGGCAACAAGGGAGGCGGTAAGTTTTTGCTGGAACCAACCATCCCAAGGTTATAGGCTCAGCCCCCCCCAGCAGCCAGGGGGGCACACACTTATACTCTGACCTCACACAAGACAACACTTGAGTGCATGCATGCACACACACACACACACACACACACACACACACACACACACACACACACACACACACACACACACACCCCTAGAGCCGGGACAAGTGTTTTGCAAGCACTCAGCTCTGAAAGGGAGTTCAGAGGACTCAGCTGCGGGTCCTATTTCTCTTTAATTACCCTGCTGCGGCCATGGAAACGGTAAATAAGACCCGCTTCATTCTAAGCCACCTTTCCAAACTCCCAGCTTTGCCAGCCACCACAAAGGCCAGTCAATTCACAGCCACTTCCTTACCATGCCTCATTCCTCTTGTTGGGGAAAAAAATGCTGACTTTTTTTGGGTGCTGCTTGCTTCTCTACCATCCCCCACCCCACATCAACACAGGACCACAGACTGAAAGCCAGAAAGGAACCATAGAGGATGGAGCGTGAGACCCTGAATCATGAAAATCAGGATTTGAATCCCGCCTCAGAAACTCACTAACTGCATGTGATGTCACCCTAGGCAATTCACCTAAACTCTCCCAGTCTCAGCTTCCTCATCTGTAAAATAGGAATATCTATCTCCCCAGAGTTGTATTAAAGATTCAATGAGATAACATATATAGAGCATGCTGTAAACCTTAAAGCATTATATAAATGATTATTATTAGTCACCTAGGCAGCACAGTAGATAGAGCTCTGGGCCTGGAGTCAGGGAGATCTGAGTTCAAATCCAGCCTCAGATCTTATTAGCTGTGTGACCCTGGGCAAGTCACTTACACCTCAGTTTGCCTTAATCCATTAGAGAAGGAAATGGCAAACTACCAGTATCTTTGCCGAGAAACCCATGAACAATATGGTCTGCAGGGTCATGGAAGAGCTGAACACGAGTAAATTGACCCAACCATGCAACCTCTTCAATTCAAAGATGAGGACACCAGCATTTAATAAATGTTTGCTGAGCTGGGCATGGTGGTGCATGATTATAATTCCTGCTCCTGGGGTGGCCAAAGCTGGTGGATTGCGTGAGCTTGGGAGTTCTGAGCTGCAGTGGGCTACACCAGGCAGGTGTCCACACTAAGTCTGGGGGAATTCAGGCTATTTAAGGAGAGGGGAACTGGCCCGGGTTGGAGACAGAGCAGGTCAAAGCTCCCATGCTGACCAGCAATGAGATCAATGGTCCCTGCAGTCCTAGCCTGGGTGAGATAGGGAGACCCAGCCTTTTGTTGTTTGTTTGTTTTGCTAGGCAATGGTGTTAAGTGACTTGCCCAGGGTCACACAGCTAGTAAGTGTTATGTGTCTGAGGCCGGATTTGAACTCAGGTCCTCCTGAATCCAGGGCTGGTACTCTATCCAATGTACCACTTAGCTGCCCCCAGACCCAGTCTTAAAACAAACAAATAAATGTTTATTGATTGACTAAGAGTGAATCTGGGAAGAGACTTAACGATTCATTCCAACCCTTTCATTTTAGAGATAAAGAAACAGAGGCCCAGAGAAGGAAAGGGGACTTCTCCACCCTTCCACTAAGAGTTACCTCTGTACCATGCTGCTCTTGCTGGCTCATCTACCATCACATACTTTGAAGCTACAGGACTGGGTGACCTTTCCAGATCTTCCTTCATCCTGTCTTTACTCACTTGGGCTCTTCTGTATTGAGAAAGGAGGCCCCTCCTTGACCCAGCATGGCTCACGATGAGCCTGTGTTTACTTCTCTTTTTAGCACCAGACTTAAGCTCTGATCTATCACTCCATGGGAAGATCTTCATCTCAGAGCTCTCTCTGAGGTTAGCCGTCACTTGGCACCTGGGTCAGCTTTCCCCAGGAGTAGGCAGAATAAGAGGAGAAGCTGGCCTGCCGAGCCTCATTCCACCCACACAAAAAGAGTGTCTTTCCTTTGATTGGAGCCAGGGAGACAGAGATGCCCAGGTAACACAAAACTTGTCTGCTTTCTACTCTTTATTGTCCTAATTCTAAAGAGAATGGTGTCACCAAGGCCCACAATGGGAACAGATGGATGGTCAGGGAACAGTGAGCAGGCCAGTTTATGTGGGATGGAAATGGCATAAAGGAAGGTGGTTATAAAAGGAGACTGGGGAGGGAGGAGGGAGGGAGATTGCAGAAGGTATTTTAAGTCTATGATGAGGATTTGGCATTTTATCCTAGAGGCAATAGGGAGTTGCTGAGAATTTTTATGTGGAGAGAGAGGGAGGTGACATGGTTACTCCTATGTTTTGGGAATATCAGTTTGACAATTGTGTGGGGCATAACGGATGGATTGAAGGGAGGAGAGATTAGAAGAACCAATTAGGAAACAACTGCAATGGATATAATAATACCCATAGTGCCAACCATCCAGGGCTGTTGTGACTGTCAAATTTGAAATAAATGTCAGTTCTTAAAACCATTAATAAAATAACCCCTGAAGAGTGATTCCCTCACATGTGGACTTACATAGATACATCATTCTTTTGCCCATTCAGCAAAGATATCACATGTTGTCTGTAGAGTACCATGCTAGCACAATTATCACCACTGAGAGAAATATTATTCTCACGTTCTCATTAGCATCCTCACCTGCTCTAAGTACTACAGGGACATAAAGGGGATCTTATTTACTTTAGCCCAGCAAGAGCTGAAAGGAAGTATAGAAGTATATATGTGTATGTGTGTGTGTGTGTGTGTATACACACTCCTATATATATATGTGTGTGTGTGTGTGTATGTGTATACACACTCCTATATATGTGTGTGTGTGTGTATGTGTATACATACTCCTATATATGTGTGTGTGTATGTGTATACACACTCCTATATATATGTGTGTGTGTGTGTGTGTGTATACATACTCCTATATATGTGTGTGTATGTGTATACACACTCCTATATATGTGTGTGTATGTGTATACACACTCCTACATGTGTGTGTGTATGTACACACACATACACACACACACATATACAATATATACAATAGCACCTGCCTCAGGACTGTTATGAGAATCAAATAAGATAATTTTAGATATATTTAGATATAGAGAAATATATAAAAATATATATATTTAAATACAAATTTAGTTATCTATAGTTATAATAGTTATATATATAGTATGTAATTGATATTATATATTATACATAATATAATGTATTATATATTATATTATATAATGATATATTACATACTGATATTTTATATATACATATAAATGTATGTTTGCATGTATGTGTATATATGTATGTATATGCATAAGCATATGCATATATATATTATATATATAAAAGTATACATATGTATCTATATGCCTGACATTTGTAAAGTGGTTGATGCTTTTCAAAGCACTCTTATATGCATTGCTATAGAGAACCCCAAATAATTGTCTCTAGAATTAATAGCTAGCATTTATATAGTACCTTAAGATTTGCAAAGCATTTTACAAATGTTATCTCATTTGCTTCTCATAACAATCCTATGAGGCAGGAGGGTATTGTTTTTCCCATTTTACAGGTAGGGAAACTGAAGCTGGGAGAGGTTAAGGGTCTTACCCAGGGTCAAACAACTAGTAAATGTCTAAGGCTGGATTTGAACTCAGGTCTCCAAGTACAGAAATCTTACCCACTATAACACCTAGCTGATTCTATGGCCCAGGGAAGTTGTAAGCTAACAAGTTTCACCAAAGAATCTAGCTCTATTTTTATACTAATCCTTTGTTTAGTTACAGACTATGTCTAGAGGGAACTGTTGATTGAAACATTTAGGTAAAAAAAAATCCGAGATATTTTGGAACCCATCTATGTGATAGCAGAAAACCCGTTTTTTGGGGGAGAGGAGGCAAGATTTTACATAAGTAGGTCATAACCCCCCAGTGATCTGAGTAACTCTCTGAGACTATATGATGAAAAGAAGGTGCTGAGCAGCATTGGAGTTTTCTCAACTAGGAGTTTCCTGGAAATCACAGGACCAAGCTCCATCCCCGTCCTACCCTTACTGACATACTAAGCATGTGGAAATCAAGTTCACCCCCTTGGTTATGAATAAATTAAACACCCTAGGAAACTCACCCATGCCGTTAAATGGTAAGGGCTGAATTAAAGTTAATGACCATAGCAATCTCTTTACAAAGTGCTTTTCTAGTGGAACACACCACGTCTATCCATCACTTTCCACCACTAGCCAATCAAATAGCAAGCATTGGTCCTGAGATCACAATGAGGAAATATGCCGTCTCCTCATCCTCATCAGCCTTTCGCAATTCTTTACTTCTTCTAAGATGCTGTGTGATTGCTACCTTTTATGTGAAGCTCTCCCCGATCTTTGCTGTAAGTGTTGTTTTTCCCCTTTGCTTCTTCTCTCCTTACCTCATACTATACATACATATATACTATACATACAGGAGCATAATAATCCCCCCTGCCTGGACTTTGCAAAGCATCTATTTGTAGAGATGACTAGCCAGCTATCTCACCTAGGATATTTTTCAAGAATTCAAAGAAATCACAAGGTGCCATTAAAAAAACCAACAGCCTCAGAATGAACTCCAGGGACCTGCTTGCCATAATATGTTTGCCTACATGCCTACCTCTTCCTCGTTTCAGTGGACTGGGCTGTTTTAATGGTACTTCCGTCTTGGGCAATCTCTCTTTCTTGGGAGGCAGGGGCGTCTCTGACTGGAAGGGGCAGGACCACTGTTTCCTGGGTCACGGGATGACCTCTTCATCAGCTCCTTGTTGGCCCAGATGTTGTTTAGCATAATCAAAGCCTTGAACTGGCTGTAGAGAAGAAATACAAACGGATGTGTATATTTCCCAACAAGTGTTGGTATACATTAACCTTTAAGAGGAAGCAAGAGGGAAAACTCACTCATTCCTTTGACAAATACTTGTTTCCCAGGAGAGGAAGGTCTCTAGCAATGGATGAGTCCCACCCTGACCCCTTGCAGTGAATTTAGGAGATTTGGATAGGAGTCACCCATGAAAAAGGCAGTATGGTGTCATGAAGAAATGGGGGCCACTGAACAGAATGATATAATAATTATGCCTGCAGCCCTCATATTGACTTGGAAAACTATATATTAACATTATCTATGCTCTATTACATTTTTATTTATTGTGTTAAATATTTCCTAATTATAATTTAATCTAGCTCGGGCTTCACTTGGGAGTGCTGTGGGCCATGTGACTGACACTTCTGATATAATGGATCAAGAGTTAGTCTTGGGGCAGCTAGGTAGTGTAGTATATAGAGCACCGACCCTTAAGTCAGGAGGACCTGAGTTCAAATATGGCCTCAGACCAAACCACTTGACACTTACTAGCTGTGTGACCCTGGGCAAGTCACTTAATCCCAATTGCCTTAAAAAAAAGAGCTAGCCTTGAAGCCAGGAGGTCTTGGGTTCAAATCCTGCCTCTGACACATTTGGACTGTATGACTCTGGGCAACGCATTAGAACTATAAGTTAGTGAGAAGTTACTTCACTGGTGGAGGGTTTTCCCTCACACGGGCGTTCCTTATGCCAGGAAAATCATAGTTCTAGGTCATATCCCTGTACCTTTTAACAAATGACATTTATTCTGGTTGTCCCCAAAGTCTATTAAAGCTTAAATCTGCACTAAGACTCGTGGGACACTCTGTATAGGGTTTTCAGGTCTGCAAAGCATTTTCTGTCTCATTGTACTAGAACATAATTTTCCTGAGGGCAGGTTCCATTTCAGTTTCTGTCTTTGGATTTCCAGTGGCTAGTGCAATCCCTATTGATAATAAGTATTAGTATAGTTAACATTTATATAGTGCTTACTATGTCCCAGGGACTGTGCTAAGTCCTTTACAAATATTACCTCATTTGATCCTCACAACAACACTGGGAGGTAAGTGGTCTTATTATCCCCATTTTACAGATGAAAATGTTGAGGCAAATAAGTATTAAGTGACTTTCCCAGGGTTACACATAGTAAATGCTTAATAAATGCTTGTGGAATGAGTATACAAACTGTCTCTTTGAGCCCTACAAAAGCCCTGTAATATAGAGAGTTCAGTTATTATTATTTCCATTTTGTAGGTGAAGAAAGTAAGGGTGGAAAAGATGAAGTGATTTGTCTGTGGTCTATAGCTACTAAATGTCAGATTGGGATATCGACCCTAGCTCCTTTAAGGGATGTAATCACCTACTAGATTCTAACATTTAATGAGGAAAATTTTAGTTCTGGAAGCCAAATAAGCACAATAAAACTTCATCAATTCTGCCTCATTTAGAATTTGTGATCATTCAGCTTGGGCTGGTCTTTCTCTGCACTGCCTATGGACAGAATGTGTTAAACAAATTAATCGTATAAACAAGATTACAGGGGGTTTGTTTAACCTACTTGGGAGAATGACCAACCATTTCATGGACTTTAGAACACTGTGCAAACCCAACGGACATTCCTAAACGGGAATGAAGATTATTTATTCTTTAAAGCAAGCCCAGCAGGACCTCCTCATCGAGAGGGCATCATTAGAAGCTAGCTCCATTTCTATCACAGAATTTAAATCATCGCCACATGACCTTTTGACAAATCAATTTCTTTGCCTGTGAGATGAAGACCATAAGGTGCTTTCTGCATCCCAGTAGTCCTGAGAAGTTTGGATGAAAAATGAAAGCCTAGTTCATCATTATCGTTAATATGGAAAAGGGAATTTCTTTCAACATATTCAGACTTTTTGGCATTAGACCGGCTATTCTCCCAGTTCATTAGCAGGAAATGAATGAGGTTTAATTGCATCAGCAATCTCTCCTGAATATGACAGCTGTGAGCCAATCTCCAGGGGGTGCTCAATTTACCAATAGCAAAGAGGACTGGCTTTCTAAGAAAACCGCTATTCTTCCTTGCACACTGGTATGTCCAATCCAGACATGACTTTCTAGTAAATCACAGTTTAGATTAAACTGGCAACAGTCTTTTCCATCAAGCTAATTTTAAGGATTAAATGTAATCCCTGCCTTCTGATTCTATCAATATTTACATCCTTTCCAATCAAAGGAAGTTAAGAAAAACCACTAAGGTTCCTCCTGGCTCTGCCTCTTTATGACTGACATTGCCTTAGGCTGTAACCAACACAGCCACAATTCAATGAATTAAAAAGACATTTACTAATAATAGCTAGCTGGCATTTATAGAGGGCCTTAAGGTTGGCACAGAATACTTCATGTGATTCTCACCGCAATACTGGAAGGTGGGTGCCATTATTATCCCCATTTTACAAATGCAAAAACTGAGGCAGAAGTAAAATGACTCACCCAGGCTCACACAGCTAGTAAGTGTCAGACCTTAGCTTAAAAAGGCCAAGGTCTCCCACCGCATTGGGGCCATCTTCAGTCTTGCTGATCTATATCTTGCCACTGGACCCGGGTGGCTTGGGAGGGGAAAGTGAGGCTGGTGACTGTGCAGATCCTTGCCTCACTAAATCCAATTCACTTGCAAGTCACGACATCACCTTCCTGACGTCCTTGGTCCTCTTCGAAAACAAAGGACAAGCAGCGAGAAGACAGATTTGCACACAGGTCTTCTTGACTCCAGTCTCAGCACTCCATCCACTGTGCCACCTAGCAGCCCCCTTTGTACGCACTTTGCATTTACTCATCTGAGTACAAATTGTATGCCTTCCTTAGAATGCAAGCTCCCTGAAGGCAGGCACTGTTTTGTTTTTGTCACTATATCTTTGGTGCAGAGCAGGGTATCTTGCAATCAGCCAATTAACAAGGACCTACCAAATGTCAAGCACTGTGCTCCAGGGGCTAGAGGTATATAGTTAAAAATTAATATTGGGGCAACTAGGCGGTGCAGTGGATAGAGCCTTGGAGTCAGGAGGACCTGAGTTCAAATCCAGCCTCAGACACCTGACACTTCCTAGTTGTGTGACCCTGGGCAAGTCACTTAACCCTGATGGTTTCACCAAAAAGCAAAAAAAAAAAATTTTTTTTAATTAATTATCTTCTGCCCTGAAGAGGCTCAAATTCCACGGAGGGAAACTACACGTATGCATAAAAATATACCCAAATCATGTATGACAGAAATAAAAGTTAAGTACTTCATAAATGGTTGCTGAGTTGGACTGCTCTCCCCAGTGAAATCTATTCCAGTTTATGAGATTTCCAATGATCCTAATGCCTGGAACTTAGAATATGGGCTTGAAATAAGGATTTGAAGCAAGAAAAATTTCTCTTCTTTTCAGGTCACTGCCCAGATCCTAAATGAAGCATCACGGAACCTTTGGCTACCCTGGAAACAGCACTATGGAGGCTAGCCAACCAGTGTAAAAGGACAGAATGCTGGTTTGGCCAGTCTTTCCTGGGTAAATGCACTGCTCTCATTGGTGGCTTTTCTCGGAGCTCCCAGAACCCTTTGGTTTGGCACAGCACCTGATGAACTTAATCAGGTGATGTTGTATGACACAGTCATCTGCATTGCAATCACATTCCTCTACTTGTCTGTAACCTCCATGAGAGCAAGGTCTGGGTCTCATTTTAATTTGACATCTCTTCCCCTCCCCCCAACCCAGTGCCTTGTCCAGTGCCCTGGCTGCACTAGGCACCCAATAAATATTGGCTGAACTGAAATGAATTAGAATCCTATGACTGTCTCTGAACACAAGTAGCACATTAGCCTGTCATCATGAAATCTCAAGAGATCATTGTGGTCTCCCAGCTCTGGACTATAGATGAGAAATAGTCCTGTAAAAGCCTGTGGAAGTCTAAACTCTCTACGAGGAACTTGAAGGAAATCAGTATGCAGTATGGTCAATAGCATAGGAAGAGAGGGCAGAACATTCCCCCGGGTTAAGATTTCTAGGGGCCGGGACCATCTGGGCTTGTCAACAGTCCTAGCTCTTGGCTCAGGAAAGGGATGGAGCTAAAGAGGGAAAGTAGAGTCTCTGTTCAGTTCCAAGTCTGACCGAGGAAATAGAGCCTCTACTTCCTAATTCTTGAATCCTGTAAGTGGCCACTCCGAGCTCCCCCAGCTTGGCAGAGTCCCTCCTGTAGCCTTAGCAGTTCCTTTCAAAAACAGCAGTTATGGCTTACTAGCAAATTCATGGCTGATGTCTTCAGTAGCTGCTTTCACTAGCTTACATACTTCCCATGACTCAATTTGTAGGTTTTAGAGATAGGACATATTGGTAAATGATTAACAATTGGCTATCTTCCCTCAAAAAATGTATTCATGAAACACTTTAAAGTTTAATCTGTATTAACATTTTCTCCATTACTTTCTTAAGTCTAAACAATCAAGCAGACAATAAATCAAGCCCTGATTAGGAGCTTTTGCTGATTTGGGGGGAGTGATAAATGCTCACACTGGAAATTTACATTGACTCTTATGAGCTATTTTGAGCTGATTCTATCACACCCCTGGATAGAGGGTTCTCAAAGATAATTTAGTTATAGGATCATCAATCTAGGATTGGAAGGGACTTTAAAGGTCACCTAGTCCAACCACATCATTTTACAGATGAGGAAACTGAGGCTTAGAGAAGTTAAATGATTTGCCTAAAAGTCATACAGATAGCAAAGCTTGAATCCAAACCCAGGTCCTTTGATTTCTTGTTTCCCCTGATAAGAGTACAAGGAGGGGAAGTAATTGTTTTTTCTTCCCTTTATTTCCCAATGCCTAGCAAAGTGACTGATACTCATATGGTGGTTAGTAATATTTGTTGATTGATTGCTCCAAAATCAGTTTTCTTTGCACGATGCCAAATGGTGTCACAATAAGTTAAAGCAAATGGCAAAAAGCTTCACATGCTGGTCATCAATTCTTCACTGATGGTAATGGAGGAGTTGAAAAAGGGGTAAAGGGAACTCAGAAACACATGTAGTTCTTAGACCATTTGTAAACTGACCTATTTAAACAAGCAATTGATTCCCCAAAAAGGGAACTGGACAAAAGTAATGACATTGACTCCGACAATTATAACCGCTAAGTTTAACCACAGTAGATCACTACAACAAGAAGTTGTCCAGAAACTGCCTGCGCCAGTGGACACTTGATATCTCAGCCAAGACAAGACATGTGGCATTCAAGGGTGATAGGTTTAAGGTGCAAGCTCATATTCAAAATACTACAAGGAAAACAACTGAAGGTTATGAATAAGTGTTTGTCATCACACAAATGACAAATAGCATCACACAACTGCAGCTCTATCACAGCCCTTTGAAGTCTATTCATCTGTCAGAATGTGGCCTAGGGTAAATCCTCATGGGCTCACTTCTCTATTCTTAGCTTTCATTTATTCACTAGGCAAGCATTTATGAAATGCTTACTACATGCCAAGAACTGTAAGAGACATTGGAGACTCAAAGATAAAAACAGTCCCTGCCCATGAGGAGATTATTTTCTATTGCGAGAAAGAGACAGAGAGAACAATATACACAAGCAAATAATAAATACTATAATATATATATATATATATTGTTTTTATTATATATTATGCACAATTATCTTGTGTGTATATATATATACATTGCATGTGTGTGTGTATATATATATATACATAAAATATATGTGGAGAGAGGGGTGAAGGGGAGAGAGAGAGAGAGAGAAGGATCTTAACTTGAGATTGTATGGGGATCAGGATGGGAAGAAGCTAGGGATTCTAAGAGGCAGAAAGGAAGAAGAAAGGCATCTCAGGCATGGGGCGCCACCTATATAAAATCAAGGAGATGGGAAATGGAATGTTGTCCACCAGGTAGAACATAGAGGCCAATTTGGTTCAAAAAGAATGAGCAATTAAAAAAAAAAAGATGGGAAGCAATTGGGATGCTTTATGACCACTGAAGGCTTAAGATTCAAAGAGGCAAAAAAGAATGAACTTGAACAAAAGAAAAGAGGACATGAAACACTAAAATTGGACCTGCCGCAGTCTGCCATCAGATATAACATCAGAATTTCCCATCCTACTATGAGGGGCACCATGGATAACATTGTTAGTGGCCACATAGTACCCGGTCTCTGGTGCATGGGTACAGATGATCACGCCCCCTAGATCAGAGGAGCCTGGCCACAGATCCCAGGAAAGACACACTAACCTTCTCTGTGCAATCCCTCACATTTAGGATGGCTGGGCCAGCAGGGAGAACCCAATGGTCCCATGGAATTCTGGCAGTGAGGCCTAGGCTCCCCAGCTGCCTCTGGCATACTCCCCCAGGGCCTACGGAATAACATGGCAGGCCAACTTTGCTATTCCCTCCCATCCTTTTGTCACCAATTGAATTCTGTTCACACAGGCAGGGCTGTGGGAAGCAATGTAGGCAGCTGGTTCTTTTCTGAAAGGGGGCAGTTCTGCAGTGTCTATTGCAACAGCCGTTAAGACTTCAGTAAAAAAAAAAAAAGCCCTAAGCCAGTTCCAGTGGTCTAGGCTTCCCCTGACAGGGAGCACTGGAAATCGAAGCAGCCATCTCAGCTTCCCCCTGAAGACAATTCAGTTCAATTTTGCTCAGGATTCCCTACATGGGAATTTGTGTGGATGCGCCTGCTTCCAAGCCAGCCCAGCCCGGGAGATCACAAACACAGTGTCCCGGAGAGAGGGGACAGAGATATCAGCGTGTACCAGCAATGCTGGGCAAATTGGATCCATCCCAAGGACATCCCCAGCACAGATTTTCAGCCACGAGGCACGCAAGGATCACCACGTGTTTTCTAAGACATCTTTTAAATGTGGGGAATTCTTATCTGAGGTGTCCCAGGTAGGTGCCAGGAGAAAAGCTGAGCACAGGGCAGGTTTCACCTGCAAGGGCCCAGCTGTGATAGGAAACCCATCATTCTGTGATGTCTGATAGGCTCCAGGTGTCGCTGAGCTGAGCTGAGAATGGAATGTCCCTGCTTGGAATGTTTTCTTTTTTTTCTGCTGGATTCTAAATGACACCTGCTGAAATTAGAATCACAGACCACACAATCATAGACCACCCCGGCCCTAGCCCTGGCCCCCTCATTTTACAGACAAGGAAAAAGGCCCAGAGTGACTTGTCTAAGGTCACAAAGATGGTAGAGCCTAGATTTGAACCCAGGTCCTCTGAATCTACTTCCAGTATTCTTTCCACTGAACCCTAAAGGCCATATATTAATTGCTGCAGAGAGCAGTGGTCTTCCAAGTTAGATCATTCAGGGGTAGGAGGCAATGTGGAAAGGTGGAAGGAACAATCGATGAGGTAGCAAGAGACTGTTAGTATAGCCCCAACCCTGTCATTTCTTCAATTCAATGAGCATTCATTAAGTGCCTGAGAGTCAGCCAGTATGCTCCAGCGGATAGTGTGTGACCTGAAGTCAGGAAGAACCAGAGTTCAAATCCTGCCTTTGACATAATACTGGCTGTGTGACCCTGGGCAAGTCACTTAACCTATTAGTGTCCCCAGGCAACTCTCAGTTGTAGGTCTGTACTAGTTAAAGTTTATTCACCAGGAACAGGAAGGAAGGAAGGAAGGAAGGAAGGAAGGAAGGGAGGAAGGAAGGAAGGAGAAGGAGGAGAAGGAAGGAAGGAAGGAGGAAGAAGGAGGGAGGAAGGAAGGAAGAGGAGGAAGAAGGGAGGGAGAGAGGAGAAAGGAGGGAAAGAAAAAAAAGAAAAGAAATAAGCGCTAGGCTGTGGGCTAGGAGCTGGAGACATAGAGAGAGAAATGAAAGAGTACCTGACCTTAAGGAGTTCCCACTCTGCTGGGGGGAAATGACATGTACACAGATATGTTAAAAACTCAGTAAAGACAAAGAAATCTGGGGTGAGGGGAGGGAAAGCACTAAAAACTAGGGGGTAATGGGAAAGTTTCTTGTAGGAAATGGTGCCTGAGCTCTTCCTCTAAGGAAGGTAGAGACAGATGCAGAGGTGAGGATGAAGGGCATTCCAGGGTCCAGTTAGCTACATGACCTTGGGCAAGTAGGCATCAGTTCCCCCCTCTGTAAAATCAGGAAGTTGGGATGAGAGGATCTCTAAGGTCACTTCTGGCTCTCACATTTTATGATGCTATGTTTCTAGTTCCTTGGGGCTTTCATGAATTAGCCAGCCAGCACTGTGCTAACCTCTGCCCTCACAGATTTTGTGTCCCAATGGTAGAAGACGCCACAGCATTAGCTTTGTAATAGGTTGATAAGCTGCACAAACAACAGGTACAGGTTTTTCCAAAGGGGGGTGGAAGGAGCCTGGCGCCTCTGGCATCACCTCCACAAAGGCTAACAGGCCTGTGGACACACCCTCTTCCTTGTCACCCTTCCTCTTCTTCACCAGTTGCTCTGGTCCAAGGCCGAAGGCCTCCTAAGTGTCTTTCTCCCTGGTTGAGAGAGTCTGCTCAACACTGAAGCAGAGACCCACAGCAGAGCTGCCCTGGCTGAGGCTTTGACCAACTACTCACCCCTGTCTTGACCATTAGCCAGGACCAGGAGCTCGCAGTCTTCCTTACGCCTCAAGCAATTCTCCCTTTCCCCTTCACCTACACAGCTCCCCCTTTGCTTTCCACCTCTTGCTCAGGAATTCATACTCAAATCAATATTACCGTTACTGCTGTGAAGGTCCTAATGATCTCCACTCCTGCAGCTCTGCCCTGCGAATAACAGGCTGGTCAGACTGAAAGTCTCTTTCCTGGCTCCCTCTCCCCACTTCCTCTAACCCATCCCTCCCATGTATATATGATACTCTGCCTTAACCTTCCATTGTGCGCTATGGAATTCCATTCTATTCTTAATAAGTCTCCCTTCATGTTAGCCTGTGCTCTCCCCTTCCCAGAAATGACTTTGTATTTAATTCTTCTTTGTGCATATCTTTGCTCCCATAGAAGGCAAGTTCCTTAAAGACAGGGACTGCTTAATTTCTGTGTTTGTATTCCCAGCATGCCTAGCACAATGCTTGACACATAATAGGCATTTAACAAACTCTTAACTGAGCTGAATTGAATTAAGTTGAATAAACAGCTGAAATGACAGAAGCACCTCGGAAAAGTGCAAAAGGTGCTGGGCCTGGAACAAAGGCTTGGGTTAGAATCCTGCCTCTGACACTAGTGGACAGAGGATATGGGACCTGAGTTCAAATCGCAGTTTTGCCACTTACTACTCGCATGACCTTGGGCAGATCACTTCTCTAAATCGAGGCCTCAGTTTCCTCAATAGTAAAATGTGGGTGTTAGACTAGGTGACCTCTAAGGCCTCTTTCAACTTGGGATCTGTGATCATAAAATCCTTTTCTTTTACCTCGAGGGTATCCCCCCCACACCCACCTCCAACTCTCTCAACTTGATCTCGAACTCCCTTTCACCTGTTGTCTTCTCCCATTAGAATGCAAGCTCCCTGAGGGCAGGGACTGTCTTTGCTTCTATTTGTATTCCCAGAACTTAACCCAGTGCCTGGTACACAGTGAGTGCTAAATAAATGCTTGTTGACTGGACTTGACATTCAATGTTCCAAATTAGTTCTCTTCCAGCCCTAGAGGAAATGTCTTGCTCCCCTCCCTGAATTCCCCCAAAGCATTCCAATGCATGCTGATGAGAGGTCTTTCTCCTACTTACTTTTGCCCTCTGAGGCAGGTTCATCATGGTGTCTGGCTTGAAGTCATTCTTGTTCTTCCTGCAGAGCACTGCTGTGATGATGATAATGATCACGGTGACCACAGCAATGGGCGCCAGTACCGCTGCGATAATCCACAGGTTGTTGGGAGGGTTTTTAACGACCGCTAAGGCAAAGCAAAACAAGACAGAAACAACAGGACCAAGGCAGAGCCACGAGTGAGGAACCCAGGCCAAGGAAAACTCAGCCAAAAGACTTCCCACCAAAAGGAAGTCCACACTCAGCAGTCAGGAGGAAATCCTCCTTTTCCCAATTGGACACCAGAAACAGAAGACAACAAGGATCCAATTGTGAAGCTTGGAAATATGCTTGTAGAGAAGAGCTTTCCGCTAGCCGAGATCTGATGTGAAGGCAGAGTGAGACTCCGCGAACTCACTTTGGCATTATTTGCATCAACAGATGAGTAATCACATTAACTTCTGTGAATAGCTCATTAGACAATGTGTATCTGTTGACATTTAAATGCTTATTGCTATTGTGGTTGTGACCAAATATTTGTATTTTAATCTTATAGCATGAATACAAAACAATATCTTTTTCCATAGATAGTCAGTGTATGGACTCATCTTTGGAAAATGAGAGGCAGGGTGGCTCCGTAGATAGAGAGTTGCACTCAAAGCCATAAAGGGCTGGGTTTAGCTCCTGCTTCTGACATACACTGGCTGCATTAGCCTTGGTGAGTAACTTAACCTCTGAGAAGGCAGCTCTCTAGCAGCTACAAAGAAAGGGCTATACTCCTTTGAGCATTCCCCATCCCAATAAAATGATAAGTCTAGTTCATGTCCCTATAGACCAGGGGTTCTTAAGCTGGAATCCATAAACTTGGTTTTTTTTTTAATATCTTTATAACTATTTCAATAGAATCAGCTTCCGTTATACTCCTATGTTTTCATAAATGTTTTCTGCATTTAAAAATAATCTTCCGACTTGTATGAAATAATGAAGAGTGAAATGAGAGGAACATTATATATTAATAGTAATATTGTTTGAAGAATGTGTTCCAAGTTCAAAGAACTGTGAGTGACTAAGTTATTCTGAGTATCATAAATATTTAAATCAACTACAAAGGACTTATGAAGGAAGATGCTATCCACCCCTAAAAACAGAACTGACAAATAACTTAAAATGGAGCAAAAAATAAATTTAAAAATTAAATAAAAATAAAATAATATTCTGAGAAGGGGTCCATAGGCTTCACCAAACTTCCCAAGGAGTCCATGAAACAAAAAACGTTAAGGGCCCCTACTCTAGATAGTCATATGTTTCCTTTATAAATTACTTTTAGGTATGAACATTTCCATATTCAAAGAACAGAAAAAAGAGGCTCTATTTGAAGCCACACATCTCTATTACATACAGCTTATTGTCTTAAAGTATATGTTAAATTTAACTATGGACTGTGTATTTTGATAGGGGAAAAAACCATGCGTAATGGTGATGAAAATATGGTGCCGAGAATATCTTGTTTCTTTAAGCAAGACATTGGGCATTATTCTGTCTCACTCTCCTTATTTTTATGTGCTATATTTCATCTTGTTACCATATAAGTAATCTCTTGACCTCTATTCAAACTGAGATGGAATGGATTCGTCTTCTGCATGTTAGTCAATTCTCTTTTAAAACTCATATGAGCAAGGTCAGGGCAATGAAAATGATCCAACGTCCATGTATTCATTGGCATAATAGCCTGATGGGACAAAGTGCTAGGCAAGGGTCAAGGTGGCTAAATCTAATCTAATTTACAAGAGTTTCATAATTTAAGTTGGAAACCAAGTTAATATTTATGATCAGAGAGGGAAAAAAATCAAGTTTTAGGCAGAAAAGAATGAAAATATGGTTTAGTCAAAAATTCCCCTAGGTCAGAAGAGACACTCCTTAGCTTGGCCTTCAGAGCCCTCTATTAGCCAGGCCTGCTCTACATCTGCAAGTGCAGGTCATACTACACTCACACCTGTGATCCACACATCAGCCAAAATGGATCATTTGCCATCTCCAGTGTATATTCCACAATCTCTCAGTTCTGGGTCTTTGCTTACCCAGTTTCCTGAGCCTGGAATGTTCTCCCTACCATTTCTGCCTCTTAGAAATCCTTGCCAATATCTGGGTCAAAGGCCACCTCTTCCATGAAGGCTTCCCCAGTTCCCTCCCAGGAGAAAAAGATCTTTCCCTCCTTGAATCCCGAAAGAACTTTGCCTTCCTCATATTCTATTTTGCATCACTTTCATTCACATATGTTATAAAACCTACTTAGACTATAAGCTCCATAAGGACAGGGGCCACGTCTGTTTCTTTTCTGTTGGACTTGCTTGGATTTCACTGGTAGAGGGAACTTTGGTTGAGGCAACAACTTTGCCAAAGGGGAACAACCTACCTTCTACAATTTATGGTCTAAGAGAGCTGTCTGGGGCCACTGAGAAGTCAGGCCACTCACCCAGGGTCACTCAGTCAGAACATGTCAGAAATAGAACTCGAACATCATGCTTCTTTAATTTTCACCTTTTCCCTACCGCCTAACACAATTCATTGCATGCAACAAGTATTTAATAAATGTTTCCTGAAAATGAGGATATGGAATAAAAACACAGGAAGGCTTTTATGAACTGATGCAAAGTAAGGAAAGGAAAACAATAAAAAACAACGTGTGCAATGACTCGATTAATGCAAATGGAAAGGACGAAAAAACCCGACACTGAATGCTGTGGAATGACCATGACCAGATTGGTCCTGAAGAAGAGTTCAGAAGAAGAGCCTCTTCATGGCCAAGGTGGATGATGATGCTTATGGACCATCATGTGTAGCCTTATTCTCACTTGAGGTGTTGGGTAATGTGACTGGCCTGTTTTTTTCTCTCTTTTTTGGACTTTTTGACAAGGGATGGTTCTCTGTGGAAGGGAACAGGATAGGTATTGAGCCTGTAATTTTCTTGGTATAGGGACTTCTTGGGTAGGGAAATTCCCTCTACCAATTCAAGTTAACACTTTCTCTCTATCTTATATATAGTCTTAGGGCAGTGAGAGGCTCAGTCCATTATCATACAGCCAATATCTATGCATCAGAGGCATTTCTTACATCCAGGCCTTCCTGGTTTCAAGGCCAGGTCTTTATCCACTCTGCAACACTTCTTGTTCAAGGTAAAGGAGAGGGATATATTTGGAAATGAAGGTGATAGAGAAAAGATATCAAAAAAGTTGTTTTTTAAAAAATTGAAATTGGAGTATATATTTAAGATGGGGAACCTAAAATAATTATACTTGTGATTGCATTAATTTTTCTTTCTCACCCTTGTTTGCTACAATATTTACTATAGTGAACATTTATTAAGGCCTATTATGTTCAAGGCAAAGAAAATCCATCTGCTTCTTGGGAAATGCAGTGACTTTCTTGAAGACATTGTCTGGGGAGTCCTTAACCCAGAGGTTCCTAAGCTTTGTTGCATCTTGGACCCCTTTGGCATCTAGTGAAGCCTTTGCTTTTAATTCCATAAAACAAGACACATAGGATTACCAAGGGAACCAATAATATTGAAATACAATTATAGAATATTAAAAGAAACAAGTGAACAGACCCAAGTTCAGAACCCCTGCCCTAGGAGGTCTAGACTCGATGATCACGTCTGCTCCCCCATGAATCATGTTTCTGTGTTAGTTTGATGATCTTCGGGGAAATTTTTCCAATTCTGAAAGTGGGCTAACCTTGACCTCTCATCGGAGGGCAGCCCTGCTAACCCTCGGTCAGAAGCACAACGTTTTAGAGCCTCAGGTGGGGAAGGGAGAATGTGCTGCGGTCCCAGGGATTTATTTCTTCAGAAGCATTTCTACATAGAAGCCCGATGCTCTCTCCTCCCTGGGACACTTGCCTTATACGGACTTCTGCCCCTCTGACTTGTCACTTTCCTTTAAGGCTCATTGTGGCCATGTAAATCCCTTGTAGAATGTAAGGCACCATTTTCATATCTCCAGGGCCCAGCATAAAGTAGGTGTTAAGTCACCCACTCACCCACCCAACCAATTGACAAAACATTCATGAAATCCCTGCAAAGGCCCCAGCACTGTGCTAAGAGATGGGAATACGAAGCCAAAAGTCTCCCATCACTTGCTCTCAAGGAGCTTATAACCTAACCAGGGGAAACGTGTATATATATTTGCCACCAGATTGTTGTTCAGTCATTTTTCAGTTATATCTGACTCTTCATGACCACATTTGGGGTTTTCTCAGCAAAGATACTGGAGTGGTTTGCCATTTCCTTCTCCAGATCATTTTACAGATGAGGAAACTGAGGCAAACAGGGTCAGGTGACTTGCCCAGGATCACACAGGTAGCAAGTGTCTGAGGCCAGATTTTAATTCACGAAGAAGAGTCTTCCTGACTCCAGGCCCAGCCACCTAGCTGCCCTTGCCACCAGATAGTCCACTTTATTTCAGCTCCATCATCATCTTCATCATGCCCTACCCAAGATACACTCATCACCAGGAAACTCATCATCATGAAGATTGTTTCAGCTTTGCTACTGGATACCTCAAGGCTACCCTCATTTGCTCCTGCTCCCTCTTTCCCTTTAAATTCTAAGCTCTTTCTGAGGGCAAGGACTTTCTTTTTCTTATTTCTATCATCAGCACTTTGCATGGCACATTAGCATGTAAGTGCTTAAAAATGGTTATCATGTCATACACATGTGGGTATACACAAAAAAGATACTATATATACTAAGTGGTACACTGTATCAGTGAAATAGTAATCTGGGAGCAAGAGGCTTGTTAGCAGCTGGAAGAATCAGGCAAGGCTTCACGAAATTGAACTAAATTAACCAAGGTCAACACCGACCTTGGGTTGATGTTTTGTAAGAAGGAATTAAAAAGATTCTTAGGGCAAAAGTGAATTTTTACAAGGGAATTTTCTTTTTAAACCCCATGGGAACAAAATTTCTGCAGCAATCTAAGCTCAGGGGGGAAAAAAAGTGACAGCTTCTATTTAGAGACTTCTGTCAGTATCACATTTTCACTTAGGTAAGAAATAGGAGTTGCCATCGCCATGCCTAGAGAGTCTGGGTGGTGCCAGCGAACCCTGTCCCTGCGTGAGAGAGGAAATCTCTTGGGGAGAATCAATCAACCCAAATTCACCTGGCTCACCGGAATCATGTCTATTTCAGTGTTTGCCAGATTTGCTGCAGAGAAGGGCAGACCAAGGCTGGAGGCAATTAAGAAGCAAATTATAATTATCATCCATCAGCCATTGACATCTTTTGCCTTATTTTCCCTCAGTTCTCCCTATCCTATCCATAGCAAAATCATGTCATCCATCTGATTTTTAAAATAGGGGCCCACTAACCCAGGTCTGAAGAATAGCTTTCCTCTTCAGGACACATGAAATTGCAAACAAGGATATTTTAAAATTCCCTTACGATCAGCCTGTAGAAGAACTACATGGTGCAAGGTCAAAGCCATCCTCTGGGAGTCGATGGTGCTCAAGATCTTGGCGGCCGCCGTGCCCAGCAAAGGTTTCCCATTGTGCAGCGTGTAGTACGTTAATTCTGCAGGATCCTTGGGGCCGGGGACGCGCTGCATCTTCACCATCTTTCAGAAAGAGAAGACCCATCTTTATGTTGTGGCTTTTATTAGACTAGATAGAGCCTCATTACCCTGCTGCTGACACCTTCCACTGTGGAGAAACTTTTTAAAAAGTTTATCTTGTTTTTTATTTCTATTTATTTAATATTTTATTTTTCACCAGTTACATGTAAAAACAATTAACATTTGTTTTTAAAACTTTGAGTCCAAATTCTCTCCCTTTCTCCCTCCTTACCACCCCCCCCACTTTGAGAAGGCAAGCAGTGTGATATATGTGTAGTCATGCCAAACATATCCATAATAGTTATGTTGCGATTGAAACACAGACAAAAAAACCCTCAAGAAAAATAAAGTAAAAAAAAAGTATGCTTCAATCTGCATTTAGACACCATCAGTTCTTTGTCTGAGGACGGATAGCATTTTTCATAAGTCCTTCAGAGCTGTCTTGAATCATTGCATTGCTGAGAAACTTTTTTTTAAAAGCCATGTGGTATGGGCAGCTAGGTGGCACAGTGGATAGAGCACTGGCCCTGAAGGCAGGAGGACCTGAGTTCAAATCCGGCCTCAGACCAAATACTTGACACTTATTAGCTGTGTGACCATGGGCAAGTCACTTAACCCCAATTGCCTAAAAAAAACCCAAATAAATAAATAAATAAACAAACATAAATAAATGAATGAATGAATGAATAAATAAATAGATAAAATAAAATAAAATAAAATAAAAGCCATGTGGTATCTATTGGGGAAAGCAGGTTAGCTTGAGAATTAGATTTGAATCCCATTCTACCTGATGACCATGGCCAATCCCTCCTTCACTCTTGTAGACCTCAGGATCTCATCCATTAAATGACATTGTGGGATGAGAGGTCCTTGAGAAGTTTGCTTTAAATCTGATATATACCCTCTACTGAGCTCTTTATACAACTCCCTTGCACCACTGTCCTTGGAAGTTAATACAGCAAGTGCCAGATTAATGCAAATAATGAATCCTGTGTGGTGGTTACATGTACTCATATGTGCATTATTTAAGGTTATAATTATATAAATGTAATCTTTGATACATATACAGTGTGGATTGAAATAATGTGACCGCTTCCTGAGATTCATTATTCACACTAATCAGAACCTACCTGTATCTCCAGGCAGTTAGGTGACACAGTGGAGAGAGTGCTGGGCCTGGAGTCAGGAGGACCCGAGTTCAAATACAGCCTAAGACACCTACTACCTGAGTGACCATGGGCAAGTCACTTAAATCTGTTTTCCTCAGTTTCCTCATCTGCAAAATGAGCTGGAGAAGGAAATGGCAAGCTACTCCAGGATCTCTGCCAAGAAAGCCCCGTATGGGGTCATGAAAGGTTGGACACAATGGAAATGAATGAGCAACTACAAGTTGTATCCCCAGAGTGAATGAGAGGGGTGTGTGTGTGTGTGCGTGCGTGTGCATATGTGTGAGAGCGTATGTATATAAGTATATGTGCATATATGTAGGCAGGAATATGTGAATGTACATGAATGTGAGTATACATGTGTGTGTTTTAATGCTCATCTCTAGAGAAGAAGTTTGGTCCTGAAGGAGAAACACTGGTTTTTTATTGGGGACTGGACCAGCTTCCATTGATGTGGGGAGCTCCTACTGCAGAAATTCTTCCCATGGCTGACGATCGGTAATGGCCTGACATCCTCGTCTGTAAAATAAGGGGGTTGGATTTGATGACCTCTGAGGTGTCTTCTACCTTTGCATCCAGGATCTTATGGATCTAGAATCTTAGAGAACTGTCTTGGCACAGCTCATAATAGGCACATAGGCATGCAGTAGGCACTTAATCATGAATGACACGGACACTATAAAGCTAAGTGACTTAGCCATAGTCAGAGTTAGTATTTGTCAGAGGGAGGATTTGAACCCAGGTTTCCCCCTTAGTCATTCCTCCATGGAGCTCCTTGTAAATACTGATACTCCCATCTTTTTCGATCTCCAGACATCCTGGCCCTGTTTTAAAATGGATTGCTATTTCACATGAGAATAATTTAAGGTGATTTAAATGATAGGACTTATTTAAATATCTTTTTTTCAATCAAAATTCCCAATAGAAATATCACAAGGGTTTTGAAAACAGTAGAGACTCTTGATTTTCTGATTTCGGGACCCTGAGAACTCGATAGCTAACAATAATAGCTGGTATCTTTATAACACTTCAAGGTTTGCATGTGCTGCCCTTTGATTCTCATGACAACCTTAATGGGGGTAGAGATGCCATTATTATCCTTATTTTTCAGATGAGGAAACTGAGGCACAGAGAGCTGATGTGTCTTTTCCAGAGTCACATGACTAGTAAGTGTCTGAGGGAGGATTAAAACTCAAGCCTTCCAAGTCAGTCATTCTACCCACTATACCACGTCATCATACCTTTAAGTCTGCAGACTTGTGAATGCAGACTTCATTCTCCCCAGAGACCACCTCTTCCACCCCCACCACTAATCCTTTTTCATTTTCTGTATTAAGCAGAAAGGCCCAGATGTAATGAGACTCAGAGAATGAATTTAGCACAGGGTTCCAGGGCACGTCAGTCACTCAGGGTTTCCATACGACCGAGCAGGTGGCAAACAGGCCTCTGAATAATCTTCCTCTATTTTGATTTAATAGCAAATTATCCAGACCTGTGACTCTTAGGAGGTCACTGGCACATCTGATACAGGGAGACTTAGATTTGTAGCCCCTTGTCTGCTTCACATAGTTTTTTCCCCCATGTTTGAGATGGTTAAGCAGACAAAGAACTGAGAGAAAAAGAGAGGGAGGAGAGAGAGAGGGAGGGAGAAGAGAGAGAGGCGGGGGAAAGGAGAAGAGAGAGAGACAGAAGGGGGGAAGGGAGAGGGAAGAGAGAGGAGAGAGAAACAGAGAAAGTAAAAGGGGGAGGGAGAGGAGAGAAAAGAGACAGAGACAGAGAGGGGAGAAGAGAGGGAGGAGAGAGAAGAGAGAGAGGGGAGGGAGGGAGGGAGAGAGAGAGAGAACAAGAACTAGACAGGCCCTTTAGAAATGCAAACAGTATCTGGCTAGTACAGCTGCCACAGAACTCTATGATTACCAGCTTTTGCTCAGTTAGGCAAATCTCATTTCATGGACACAAGTCTATAGGAGATTTCTTCTTCTTCTTCTTCTTCTTCTTCTTCTTCTTCTTCTTCTTCTTCTTCTCTTCTTCTTTTGATCAATTTATAATTTGTAAATTACAAATATTGCATGGGACCTACAGAGGGGAGACCTCAAAATCTGGTGGCATAACTTAGCAACTCTTCCTTTTTAAAAGGCAGCAAGATATAGCTAATAATAATAGCTAGCAATTCAGCAGCACTGTAAGGTTTACAAAGTGTTATCAAATGTTATCTCTTTTAATCCTCACAACACCTACGAAATAGGTGTTATCATCCCCATTTCATAGGACAAAACCGAGGTACAGAGAGGTGAAGTGATCTGCCCAGGGTCACACAGTTAGTAAGTGTCTGAGATAGGATTTGAACTCAGGTCTTCCAGATTCCTAGTCTAGCAAGGGGTAGGGAAGAGGAAGATGAGTAGTGAGCTTCCCATCACTGGAGTTGTTGAAACAGAGGCTGGATGGTTATTTATTAGAAATGTTATAAAGGAGATCCCTTATTTGAGTGTAATAATAATAACATCTCGCATTTAAATATCACTTTAAGGTCTGCAAAGCACTTTATGTATACTGTCTCATTTGGTCCTCACAATAATCCTGTGGGCTAGGTGCTATTATTATCCCTAATTTACAGATGTAGAAACCGAGGCTGGAAGAAGTTACAAGACTTGTCCAGATGTATGCAAAGAAAGAGGAGACTCACAGGTTGAAATCCTAGCTCTGCCTCTGACTAGATTGTGTGGCCATGAGCACTTCATTCTATCTGTCTAAGGCTGGGTTTCTGTAAAATGGAGCTAAGTGCACGTGTGGGGCCTGCCTCACAGAATTGTCATGGTCAGGGAGGGCAGATAGGAAACCTTACAGCTCTACAAAAACATGAGTTGACCTAAGGGTGACGATGATGAAAATACTGTCATCTTTCAGACCAGTTACTCTCCCTCCGCAAAAAACAAACAAACAAAAAAACCCAAACAACCCTGATATGTTCATATAAGCAGAGAGCCCCAGGCAAAGCGAGGGATGTAGACACAGAAGCGACCTCAGGGGAAATCTCATCCAATCTACTTTTTTCACAGGTACAGAAACTGAGACCCAGAGAGGTTGTGTGATTTGCCACAATATAACAATAGCAATATTAAAAGCTCACATTTGTAGAGCACTTTGAGGGATGTAAAACACTGAACACCTCATCTCATTCAAAGTCACAAGTGGAATCACTGAGACTTGAACCCACACCCTCAAACTCCAAATCAGGAATCTTTCCAGTGCACCATACACCCTCCCAGTCTGGACAGCTCCCAATAAAGTAAAGGGAGTATCTTTTTTTTTTTGTTTGGCTTTAGGTTGAAGGTCAGATGTCTTTTGAAAACAACCCCAAGTCTCCTTTTTTATGGCCCACCTTCATCCTCACAGTACAGTGACCCCTAGTCACCCCAAAGACTGGCAGTTTGCAGGGCAAACTATTCCACACCATCAGAGCCAAACCAAGAGGTTTTTCTTTGTCACAAGGAAGGGCTTGATTTGGGAGAGGGAGGGGTCCAAAATGACCAATAGAAAGACAAAAAGGCATCAATGAAATTTTTTGTTGTTCGGTCATTTCAGTAGTATCTGACTCTCTGTGACCCCATTTGGGATTTTCTTGGCAAAGATACTGGAATGGTTTGCCATTTCCTCCTCCTCCTCATTTGACAGATGAGGAAATTGAGGCAAATAGAGTTAAGTGACTTGAACAGTGTCACATAACTAGTAAGTGTCTGAGGCTGGATTTGAACTCACAAAAAGGAAATCTTCCTGACTCCAGGCCCATCACTATCTACTGTGCTGTCTAGCTGCCCATCAATGAAATATATATTTTTAAATAAAAATAAATTCCTGGAAGAAGAAAAATGAAGCAAAAAAAGACATTGATTTATGGGACTTACTAGGAAATGGATTTTCCCAAACCTATTCTGACTCAAGGTGGGGTGCTTCCTCCAACTCACCTGAACTGTGTAGCTCCCAAGAGTTGTGGCCCTCTTTAGCCGCCTGCCTTGTTGCTGGGACATCATAAACAGCTGGGCCAACCGCTGTTCCATGACTCTGGCGAAACTCTGATTGTGGAGTCCCACTAAGGTGTTGTCCACCCCTTGCAGAACTGTGGATGAAGAAGGAGGACATGGGGGTCATGCTGGGAGAACTTCTTTCTAGAGGGAGCCCAAAGATTCTGCTCTGGGTGAATACCCAAAGATCAGAGAGCCATAGGAAATGGGAAATCAGATTATAAGTCAACAGGATCCCAGAGGCCATAAACTCCAACCCTCTTGTGTGTTACAGATGAGGAAACTGAGGCCCAGAGAGCTTACGTGACTTGTATACTGGTCACATAGACAATTAGAACTGAGATTTGAACCCAATTCTTCTGACTCTGAATACAGCATTCTTTCCATTACACCACCCTGCCAGGGTAGAGGAAAACTCACGGTCTGATATCACATTGCCTTAGCCCACCCACATACCAACCCCCAAATACACATATCCAATAGACCATAACAAGAATGTATAACCTGTATCGAGTTGCTTGCCTTCTCAATGAGGGGGGGTGGGGAGAGAGGAAGGGAGAAAATTTGGAACTCAAAGTTTTAAAAACAAATGTTAAAAAAATTGTTTTCACATGCAACTGGGAAACAAGACATACAGGCAATGGTGTATAGAAATCTATCCTGCCCTACAGGAAAATTGAAGGGGAAGGGGATAAGAGAAGAAGGGGAGGGATAGAAAGGAGGACAGACTAGGAGAAGGGGTATTCAGAATGCATGCCATCTTGGGGTAGGAGGAGGGACGAGAAGGGGAGAAAATTTAATTAATAAAAAAAAACAAAAAAAAAAAGAATGTGGAGTCTTCCTTTAGCAGAACCTAGGCCATTCTGGACCTGGACTAAGAGGTCTTGCTTTCACTGCTTACTATCTGTGGAACCTTAAGCAGGTCATTCACTTCTCTAGGTCTCACTTTCCTCATCTGAATCTCTTCTACCTCTTATATTCCATGTTTTAATGTCCTTCCCAGTTCTGACATTCTATGTTATCGATCAAAAAAAAATATTTGTTAAACTCCTACTATGTGCCAGGCATTGTGCTAAGCGCTGGGATACACAAAAAGACAAAAGACATCTCTGCCCTCAACGAGCTTACAATCAGATCGGGTAGACAATATACAAATACACATGCCCATTCCAGCTCTGATACCCTATGTCCTACGCTCTAACATCTTGTTTTTATTTTCTGTGTTCTAAGGTTCCTCCCAGCTCTAAATCCTTTTAGCTATGATCTCTGAGCCTTGAAAGACTTTATCAGATCTTGAATCATAGGGCATGCAGTTGGCCTCCATTCAGAACTGCCTAAGGCCATAGAAACGATTTCTTGTTTCCCCCATTTTGCAGGTGAGAACCTGGAGGGGGAAAAGATTATAACTTCTTTCCCAGACTGTAATGGGAAAGAGAAGAAAGAAATGGCACTCTTTTGAGGAATAGAGTTGAGAATATTTCTGTTGTTTTCCATGTCCATTTCCACTCCATTTATGTTAGAATTCCAGACAATAGCAGAATGGTGGAATATTCCAGAGGAGGGAGATAGTGGCCCTCCCCAGACCCCTGAAATCCCACTTGATAAGTGGCTTCCTACCCCAGTCACCATTAGGTTTGTCCCCATTTCAAGACAGTCTTGGGAAGGCTCTTTACAAGCATACGAAAAGAGCTGTATCCAAATCATAAATATTCAAGTCACATATTGGTTTAAGATATGCTCCTATGTAGACAGGGGTATTTGCAACATTAGATTTTCCCTTAATTAGAATTGGTAACCAATTGCCCTGTTTTTGTAGCTCACCTTTTGAGCACATAGAAATAAGAATCTGGCTATGCGGAAGAGTACGGAGATAGAGGTAGAGATAGATAGATGTATATATACATATATATGTGTATATGGATGTATATACAGGGTGCCCCTATTAAGTTTAATGGCTTTAAACTACCCAAAGATTTGGAGGGCAGTTTATATGTATATACATACATATTATTTGTCATTTTCCAGTTGTGTCCAACTCTTCATGACTCCATTTGGGGTTTTCTTGGCAAAGATACTGGAGTGGTTTGCCATTTCCTCCTCCAGCTCACTTTACAGATGAGGAAACTGAGATAAACAGGATTAAGTGACTTGCCCAGGGTCACCCAGATAGTAAGAGTCTTGAGGTTGGATTTGAACTCAAGTCTTCCTGACTCCAGACCTGGCATTCTACGCACTGCACCACCTAATTGCCCCTACACATCTATACAAACATACGTACATATACACACAAGCCCTATATAGGGCATTCATTAACATGGGGTTCCATCCACATACAGCCCTTATCCAATACACAAGCTGATCAGGTGACAGACACCAGCGACACTAGGAGAAAGATGTGTAAACGAGTTATGGAAGAAATAAAATCCACAGCTGGTCCCAGAAATTGCTTCTCTGATGCCACAAACACCGAGCAATCCCTGCTGAGAGTATAATGCTCTTCTCTGTCTAGCGCTCCTGGGCTTGGCTCGGGAGTAATCTGCCAGTTGGATCTCTACAAAGAGAGAGAAAGGACTCTGGCCCTGTCCTTGGTACTTCAGTTTCTAGAAAAGCCCCTAAGCATTCCTCCTGCCTGCTCCAGCCATCAGCGGAGAAGGAAAGCCAACCTGTCATGTGATGCTGGTTAAGAGTTTGGGGGCTTGCCTGGTTAGGGGAAGCTGCCACTCTGGGATAAGGGGAAGTTTCTCCCTTGCCCTCCCTAGTGGAAATGCAAATTGGATTGATCTCCGAAGGATTGCTTAGTTGGCATCTGCAGGCTGTTCATGTCTTCAGGGCCTGTGATGGCTAGAGAAGAGTGGGACTGATCTGACACTGGGCATGCTGAGAGGTTTTGACTCTGTGGGTTGTATGATGGGAATTACCTCTGAGTGTCTAATTGACAAGCTAAAACTATCACCGAACCTCAAGAGAAAACCCTCATGTTGTCAGGGCCTCCCATAGAGTAACACAGAATGACAATCTGGCCAATTACAGCACACAGCAACACTTCCATTAATTACAAGGATGTCTTCCCATGGCAGGCTTTATTGTCACAATCCCCATGAGCAGAGGCAGAAAAAACCTAGGAAGCAAATACCTTTGTACCAAGATGCAGATTCCCCTTCTACTATACTCCCTCCAGCCCTCTCTTCCATAGAAGTGAGGCTGCAATTCCCTGATCCTCTTTGCTACATTCTCTAACTCTCTCCAGAGAGTTACACACAGTGATGGTGGAGCCTGTGTGCAACCTCTTGGCCTTAGTGGTATCTCCCCCTTTGGCATGTTAGGGGCATATGAGTCCTGCAATATGGTCCTCCCTTCAGACAGGCTAATGCCCACAAAAAAGAGGCCTCCTGTGATATCTATAGCTATATATCTGTGTATATGTGTATATATACATATATATATGTATATATATATGTATGTATTTGTGTGTATGTATATGTACATATGCATGCATATTTATACATCTATAAAGATATACACAAATTTATGCATGCATATATACACACGTGTATATGTGTGTGTGTGTATGAATGTGTGTTTGACTCCTTCTTCTTGGCCCCACATTGAGGAATTAGGAGTAATAGGAGGAAAATACAAAGAGACAAATGTAAGCTTAATGCCAGGATAAACGTCCCAAGAAGAGTCCAAACATGCGACAGACCGCCTTAGAAGGTAATCCCTTCTCCTTCACTGGAGGTCACAAATCAGAGGCCTAATGATCATTTGCTGGGGATATTGTAGGGGGATGAAGGAGCTCCTGAAACTGGCTGGAATAGGCTCAGGAGGGCCGACTGTTACATTTTTCAGTGTGTGCATTGACACCTAGGAATTCAGTGAACATTACAAACCAGGGTTTAATTTATGTTTTGGTGATACCTGGATTTAAGAAAAGTGATAGATAAAATGTCAGTAGTATAGATTAAACTTAAAAGTATGTCATGTCTGTGGGATTTTGGGGAGGGAGCTGGTTGTTAAATATTTATCAGCATGCTCCTAGGAGCCATGATCAGATACATGTTACACTAAATGGCTTCCAAGGTCCCTTCCAACTTGGGTAATTTCTGAGGATACAGAGGATGCAGGGTACAGTGTAGAAAGTGAGGATATAATAATAATAATAATAGTTGGAATTTACATGGAGCTTTAATGTTTGCAAAGTGCTTTAAATATATTATCATGTTTGATCCTCAAAACTATAGGAGGTAGGTACTACTATTAGCCCCATTTAACAGACAAGGAAATTGAGGTGCAAAGAAGTTAATCAACTTGCCCAAGGTCACACAGCTAGTAAGTATCTAAGGTAGCAGTTGAACCCAAGTCTTTCTGACTGCCAGTCCAACACTACCTCTTAGCTGCTTCTAATAGAAGCATCACATACTGTTGTCCTTTTTACATAGTTTGTTCTACAATTCAGACTATAGAGCTTAGATCTGCCTTCTGAACTCATGAGCAAGCATTTACATTCTGAAAAGGCAGTGTGGCATTTTCTATGAGAAACACAGCAGCACACAACTTGTAACAGATCGCTGTCAGAGGGCACTATTCTATGCCTCTTACATGTCTCCATTGACTTGTTATATTATGAACCCATTCACGGTCAGTCAGCATGGCAGATACTGTAAATTATTTTTCCCATGTTGGGTGATGACCTCCCAGTAACCTCACTCTCATTCCTGGTTCCCTTTATGACAAGTGGCCCATGTTTAAGAAATGGCCAACTCCTCATTGCATCAATGGTCCTCCACAGAATCCATTCAAGGTAACTTAAGACCCTTGACTTTGGCCTCATAAGCACCACAGGCATCCAGGGGTGACAAATACTATTTACCTTGGGTTCCAAGGCAGAGAGACAGGTCTAGGTTTGATATCTTGCTAACAATCACACCTATATCAGAGTGGAACGGGATGCCTTGGGAGGTAGGGAGGTCTCCAAGCAGAACCCAGAGTACTACTTGATGGATGTGTGGTAGAGGGAAATATGCATTAGATTAGATGACCTTGGAGGTCCCCTGTGAGCCAAGCCTAGGGACTATTAGCAGGGCTCACATCATAGGCTGGTTCCATCTCAAGAGAATTTATTGTAGAGCACGGACATCTGAACCACTTTAAACCAAGAGGGATTGCTGGGTTTGAAACTACCAACACCCTCAGGACATTCCAAATGAGAAAATGATTTTTTGCAAATATAATAAGATCACCTGGGTCATATAATATGTTATAAAATATATAATATATATTACATGTTACTATACAGAGATCAGCTACTTGGTATGGTAGAGAGAGCACTGGACTTGGAATCAGAAGACTCATCTTCATGAGTTCAAATCCAGCCTCAGATACCTACTAGCTGTGTGACCTTGGGTAAGTCACTTAACCCTGTTTGCCTCAGTTTCCTTATCTGTAAAATGAGCTGGAGAAGGACATGGCAGAACACTCCAGTATCTTTGTCAAGAAAACCCCAAATGGGGTCATGGAGAGTAGGACACAACTCAGACAGCTCAAGAACAATGAATAAGATCAGTCAGTTTCCCTACACTGCTACAATTGTGTTAGCGGATTATAGCTAGCAGAGTCTAGTGTTTTTTCATACTTAGAATAACAGCTATAACTGGCATGTGAGATTTGCAAAACACTTCATCCCATTTGAGCCTCAGACCAACCCTGGGAGGTAGGTGCTACTAGCACAATTATTTCCATTTTATGAAGGAGAAAACTGAGGCTCAGATAGTCTAAAGGACATGCTTATGGTCATCCAAGTAGGAGGTGCCAAAGGCAGGATTCAAACACAGGTCTTCTGGAGTTCCATTAAAGTATTCTATTCACTATACCAGGGGTGGAGAACCCGTGGCCTTCTAGGTCCTTGGGTACGGCCTTTTGACTGAGTCCAAGTTTTACACAACAAATCCTTTTATTAAGGGAATTTGTTCTGTGCAGTTTGGACTCAGTCAAAGGGCCACATTTGAGGACCTAGAAGGCCACATGTGGCCTCAAGGTCACAGGTTCCCCATCCCTGTACTATACCTTAGATTGTAAGCTCTTTGAGGGCAGGAATGGTCTTTTGCCTTTTTTTGTATCCCTAGTACTTAGCACAGTGCCTAGCACATAGTAAACACTCATCATAGGTTGGGTGGTTCATGGAGTATACCACACTGTTACTCAGCTTGCTTAATTTGCTCAACTTGCCCTGCCCCTTACAAGATGAACAGTACTGTTAGCGGAAGTAGCAGATGAAGTTTCCTTTTTGGGGGGAGGGGTGCAGTACAGACCTGCATTTTTAATTAGTCTAGGCAGAGCAGCACAGTAGAAAAGGTGTGAGTTTGGGGATCTGAAGACCTGCTTCTGTCCCTTGCTGTCTGTGTGACCTTTAATCACTTTTGGTTTCAGTTTCCTCATCAGTAAAATAAAGCAGTTGACAGAGCTATATTCTATGGCTCCCTTCAGCTCTAGAGCTATGATTCTGCTACGGAAACTCCCTTCACCAATGCAGATCAGAAACCCAATTCATAACTTAGAACCACAGAAACTTCCACTCTAGAAGCAACCTGGCAGAGCGAAGGGAAGATTCAAGGACTGCAGCATTTGAGGGGAGTCCTCAAATCAAGTTTTCAGGCAAGTCGAGATATTCATCTGTGTTTGGTTTGGAGGGTGACGACAGAAATGAGAGGGGGAGGCACTCTGAATCTCCACTGGCAGGTTCATTGCAGTCCCTGAGTGGTGACAGGGTTTACATTCTCTCTTTCTCTCTTTCTCTCTTTCTTTGTAGTAAATGCCTGCCTGCCTCCTCCCCTTCCTCTTCCTCCCCTTTTCTTCCTCCTTCTCCTCTTCCTCCTCCCTTCCTCCTCCTCCTCTTCTTCCTCCTTCTCCTTCCCCTCTTCCTTCTCTTTCTCCTCTTTCTCCTCTTCCCTTCTTCCCCTTCCTCCTCCCCTTCTTCCTCCTCCTTCTCCCCTCCATCCTCCTCTTCTTCCTCCTCCTCTTCTTCTTCTTTCTCCTCCTCCCCTTCCTCTTCCTCCTCCTCCTTCCCCCCTTCCCACACCTTTTCTGACCCCCAGTCCCTCCCTTCCTCCTATGGCTGCCTTCTTCCTCTTCCTCCTCTTCCTCCTTCCCTCTTTTCACACCTTTTCTGCCCACCAGTCCCTCCCTTCCTCCTAAGGCTGTCTTCTCCTCCTTCTCTTCTTCCTCTTGCTGCTGCAAAGGAGCTGCCAGGAAGGGATTCTCCCTTAAAAGCTGCTCCAGAAAGAACTCATTGTGTTTGAGAAAGCCTAGCTGGGACATGAATGTGGGGAGATTTTTTTGACTTCTGGCCTTCCTCAATAGTAATAACAACAATTGATAGCTAGGTCATAACAATAACTAGCATTCATATAGAATTTTAACCTCGGCAAAGTCCTTGACATAAGTTAACTCATTTAATTCTTACAACAACCCTGGGAGCTAGGAGTGATTATTATCCTCATTTTAAAGATGGGGAAACTAAAACAGAGAAGTTAAATGACTTGCCCAGGGTCACACAGCTAATAAGAGTCCCAGGTAGGAATCATTCTAGATTCCCTGATTCTAAGTTCCATGTCCTAACCACTGTGCCACCTGGTTATAGAGAACACTTTAAGGTTTACATGGAGAATGCTCTACCTTCTTTATGAGAATGATGGCATGGCAGTGGGTAGACAGTAGGCCTTGGAGTCAGAAAAACCTGGGTTCAAGTTCTATTTATGACACTGTAGCTACATGACCCTGAGTAAGTCATTTAACTTCTCAGTCTTCCCTCCTCTGTACCCTGCTGCCATCCAAGCCAACTCTAAAATTGTAAGTAGAAGAATACAGTAGAAAGAAAATGGGATTTAGAATCAGAGGTCTTGGGTTGGAATGTTGAGTCTGGCACTCCTTGTCTTTGTGACCTTGGACAAGTAACTTAACCTTTCTGGGGCCTCAGTCAAATCTAGCCTCAGGCTAGATAATTCTAAGGCTCTATTAAGCTCTAAATCTATAATCCTAAATTATGGATAAGTTGCTCATCTACATAGGAAAAGGGAGTTTCCATACCAGGAGTTCCCCAAACCAATGATAATACAGCTTTATACACCCTTCACTAATTTGAAAAAAAAAGGGAAACTATATATCCTGGCTCCCCTAATGCAATTATGAGTATAACATTTGTGCAAAAGAAAGTAGCTGGAAGAATATAAGCTTCTTGAGAGAGCCTGGTTGTTTTTATCTTTGAATCCCCAGGGCCTAGCACAGAACATAGTAGGTGCTTAATAAATGTTAAATAGGGGCAGCTAGGTGGAGCAGTGGATAGAGCACCGGCTCTGGATTCAGGAGGACCTGAGTTCAAATCTGGCCTCAGACCAAGCACTTGATACTTACTAGCTTGTGTGACCCCGGGTAAAAGTCACAACTCCAATTGCCTTAAAAAAATGTTGAAATGTTATATAACAGATCCTTGCTGATTTTAATCTGAAATCTCTATGGAGCTATAGAAGGACCTGCCCACTTTAAACATGTATTTATGGCATTGTCATAGCCAACAACTTAAGAACAACATTGTCCAACTGCTTACAAGGATTGACTCAGTTAAAGGGAAGTCTCAACCCAGGGGTATGGAAAATGTACCCACCACAACAGAATCATGGAATCTCAGCACTGGTGAGGACCCCAGGAAACATTGAACTAGTGCAATGGGCAGAGTGATGAACTTGGGAGTACAGAACACCCTTAACAGTTTCCTCAGCTGTAAAATAGGGAGAACAACAGCACCTACCTAATAAGGTTGTGATGAAGATCAAATGAGATAATAAATGTAAGATAATAAATGTAACCTTTAAATACTACATAAATACTAGCTATTCTAGGGAAAAGAATCCAGTTCTATAATGTACTCAAATAATGGTCATTCAGCCTTTGCTTGAAGACTTCAATGAGAGAACCTATTACCTCCTGAGAGAGCCCATCTTACTTTAGGACAGCACTGATTGCTGGGAAATTTCCACTTATATCAAGTCTAAATTTGTCCCTTAAGTCTTCAGTCCATTGCTCCTAGCTCTACCCTCTGTGGCCAAGCAAGCCAAATGCCTCTTTTCTTTGCCAGCCTTCTTAAATGCCTGAAGCTATATGTGGATCACATCCCCAGCTAAGCCTTCTCTTCTCCAGCCTACATGTGCACAGTTCCTTCAGCCAATTGTGACGCGTCATGATTTGAGACCCTAGACCATCCTGGTTGTGCTCCTCTGGATGCTCTCCAGTTTATTCGTGTCCTTTTTAAGCCACAGTACCCAGAACTAGCCACAGTAAGTCCAAAGAAATCTGGCCATGACAGAGTAGAGCAGGCCCACTGCCAGATACTCTGCAGCCCAAGACCACATTAGAATCCTTGGCTGCCACAGTAAACCATTGACTCCTATGGAACTTGTAGGCTGCTAAATTAAAAGCTACATCTATGAGTGGAGACCTTTATTTTTCTCTTTCTATCTCTAAGGAGGCAACCCCTGAAGCGTCAGTGATTGTGCTGATCCAATAGTCATTTCCATCAAGATTTCTTCTCTTATCACTGTTTTCTTATGCTCCCCTTACATTACCGATAAATTGCTCATCACCATTGGAAAGGGGGGCTTCCACACCAGTTTCCCAAGCCTATGAAACACAGTTTTATGCCCCCTCCCTAACAAAAATAAAAATGGAATCTTCATATCTTGGTTCTACACCATTGACTCATACAGAATTTGTGGGCTGCTAAATTAAAAGCTAGATCTATGAGCGGAGACCTTTATTTTTCTCTTTCTGTCTCTAAGGAGGCTACCCTGAAGCATCAGTGGTTGTGCTGATTCAATAGTCATCTCTAGCAGGATCTCTTTTCTTATCCCTGTTTCCTTATACTCACCTGACATTGGTCCAGCAGAATGAACTCTCTGATGAATAAGTCAGAAATGACGAAATGAATAAAAAGGGCCAAATATAGCACTGAGAGACATGCAGTTGTCAGATCCAACCAATGAGAGGAGGGAACTCAAGTTACCTGTAATCACCCAATAGTCTCTAGTTGTCTCTGAGACATCGAGGTTTGGGTATTCCAAGGCTAAAACAAACAAAACAACAAAGATGAGCATATTTCCTTACATTTCTCCTGCTGGACAGGTTCTTACAAATGTTTGTTGTAAAAGAAAATTCAAGCATGCCAAAAAGAATGAATCAACTAAATCTGGCCTTCTCATGCTCAGCGACTATTAACACATACCACAGGCAGGACCACTGTCTATGGTCCTGAAAATGGATATACTTAGTCAAGGACTGATTTGCAGACTCACCATTTTCTAGGATTTGTAGCTTGGAGCCAGATTATTACAACAAAGTAGTTTTCTTATTAAATGGCAGTACTCGAGGCATATTTCCAACGAAGTGGGAATTGTCCTGCCTAGACATCTGTTTTCATTCATTTGAAATTTTTTTTCTTTTCAGGGAATGGGCATCTATCCTTCCAGTATAATGGATAGAGTATCAAACTTGAGAGTCCAAAGATGTGAGTATGAATTCCAGACCTTCCATTTCATGTAAGTGACCTTAGAAAAAAAATCACTTACTCTCTTTCCCACTAGCCCATAGGATTGTAGTAGGTATCCAAAAGAACATCTATGTATCTGACAGTACCCTATGGTTATAATGTACTTTTAAAAAGATATCATCATCATTATTGTTATTATTATTGAAAGGCTGAGTGCCATAGTGGCTAGAGGTCCAGCCCTTGAATTAAGAAAACCAGCTTCCAAGTCCTGCTTCTGATATGTAATGGCTGAGTGTGACCACAGGCAAGTCATATAATCTCTCAGGACCCAGAGGAGTCTCCAAAACCACAAACTGCCAATGTGCATCACTGGAGGGAGTTTCCATACTGGGAGTTCCCCACATTACTAGACCAAAAAAGTTATTATCATTTGCATTTTGCTCCAAAAGCTAAATTTAGTTGATCGGATAGCAATTCCTATAACTGTTAGCCTCAAGCTTCTTTACAATTTGATGACAATCAAAATATGAAGGTGATGACAAAAAAAAATTCTTCACATGCGGCCAGGAAGGAGACTAGGATTAGGGAATGCAGGGTCCCCCAAATCCCTTCTCCCCAGAACGCATGGAAATACCCAAGAGCATGCCATGAAGTCCTTGCTGAAGTGTTTAAAGTCAAATAGAAGAAACACTCTTTTTTTGGCTAATAGATGGAAAACCTGCCCTCCACCCTTGGACAACACACCAAGTGAAAGAAAAATTAGATCTCCAAGCTCAGACCTTTCTTTGCTTGTCCGTGGCTAGCAAGAAAAAAATGTTGGGGCAGGAGATGGAGGATCCACAGTCTCAGGAGAACACAGGTAATGCATTTAATGAGGCTTATGTAATTGTATCATTAGAGGGCGTGCAGGCTCCAAAAGGAAGCCCACAACCCCGGGGGGACTTTCATCAAGGGGAGCTGAGAGACTTAATTAGAAATGAATTTACATCATGAAGCTACGGCTGTGATGTCTCGACATAGAACAGGTGCCTTGTTACCTGATGGCCTGGGGACTTCTGCCAACTGGCGACCTGGGGGAATGACATCAACCCTGGTGGCTGAGGGAAAGAAGCCCTGCCAGTTAAGTGAGCAACTTTTAGTCTGTTCAACTCAAAACCATCAGATCTTAATTTTTGCCCCTTGTTTCCAGGAAGAGGGTGGGGATGGAATGAGATGAGAGTTCTTGGTGAGTGCTGAAAGATGTGATCGTGGGGAAGGCCATCTTGGAGGAGAGTCCCCAGGAGTGTGACGTCTGCTCCCTCCCCCAGGCATACTCACACTCTGCGATGGTCAGGGGTGGGTAGGTGAGGTAGAAGCCCACCAGCTCTGCCGACAGCTGGCTCAGGAGGCTGCTGGAGACTGTGCCATTCAGGAGTGTGCTCTGATTCCAAACTGCATAAGTCAAGGTAACCGCCTGGGAGGCATTCGATGTGTTCAAAATCTGAATCGACAGGAGAGAAGAGTCAGTGAGAGATGTCAGCTGAGTCACTGCTTTTCAAAGGGCTGGAGAAAGCTGCCGCACTTGAGGTGTTAGAGTGGGTGGCTCTAAGATGCGAACACAGAGGACTTTAGAGATTCTAACTCCCTCGACTTCACTATTTCATTCAATGGCATCTTAATTCACTCCTGAATCCTTGTTCTTCCTTAGTCAAAGTCTTGGCATTATCTTCCTTCTCTCTTACATTTAGTTGGTTACTTCATAGATTTTATATATATAATTTTATGTTTTATTTTTTGCTGAGGTAATCGGAGGTTGCCCAGGGTCACACAGCTAGTAAATGTCAAGTGTCTGAGGCTGGATTTGAACTCAGATCCTCCCCAATCATATAGATTTAAAGCAGGAAGGATCATGGGACTATAGATTTAGAGGGGACCTTGGTGGGTATTGAGTTCAGCCCCCTCATTTTATAGATGAGGAAACTGAGGCCTAGAGCAGGTAAGTGACTTGTCCAGGGACACTGATCTAGTAAACAACTGAGGCAGAATTTGAATCCAGGTCTTCCCATCCATGTCTAGCTCTTCATCTCATGTACCATGCACTAAGCTGACTCTCAATGTCATCCCTGTATCTCTTTCATCTGTTTCCTTCTCGCTCCTCACATTTTCACTCCCTAGTTCAGACTCTTATTATCACTCACCCTCCTAGCAGGTTTTCACACCTCTTATCTCACCCTCCTACTACCCACCTGGCATACTGCTCCCACACTTGTTGTCCAGTCATTTTCCAGTCGTGTCCAACCCCATCTGGGGTTTTCTTGGCAGAGATACTGGAGTGGTTTGCCATTTCCTTCTCTGGTTCATTTTATAGATGAGGAAACTGAGGCAAACAGGATGAAGTGACTTGCCCAGGGTCACACAGCTAGCAAGTGTCTGAAGCTGTATTTGAACTCAGGTCTTCCTGACTCCAGGCCCAGCACTCTATCCACTGCACCACCTAGCTGCCTCTAGGCAAAGATCATTGGTAAAACATCATGGCAGAATTGTACTTAAGACTGAGAGGCAGTGTGGCATAGTGGATACAGTGCTGAGCTTGGAGTCAGGGAGACTCAGGGTTAAACCCTGCCTCTGATACATACCAAGTATGTGACCCCTCAAGCAAGTTGTCAGTGCCCAAGGCAATTCCAGAAGACTGCCAGTAATGGATAAGCAACCAGTCTATACTGGTAGGAGTTTTATCCAAAGTCACACAGACAGTAAGAAAGCCCCAGAAGGTGGCTTTCTACCTCCAAATCCAGGGCTCCTTCTATGACACCACACTGCTTCTTTGTCCAGCGAGTTCCCTAAACTGAGATGAAATCATACGTGTGACCAAAAAGAAAACTACTACATATTATAAGCAGTGAGATGTCACCAAAGAGCAAAGCCTTGGAGTATAAAGATAGATTACGAAAAGCTTGGCATGAGACCCAATTGAGATGAGATATTTAGAGGCAATTCATAGACTCAAGTGTTAGGAAGATAACAAATAGGGCTAAATTGGGGTCACATGGCTCACATCACAGTTGGCAAGGCATATTTCTCACACCAACTCTGAGGCAGACGGGGTAGGTAGTAATACCCCCATCTTACAGATGAGGGAATTGAGAATCTGAGAAAGTCTTGCTCTGGGCAGGGTCAAGTAAGTATGAGGGCTGGAGTTTTAACTGAGATTCCTTGACTCCAAATCCAGCATGTGTTTCATTTTACCATGCTGCATCCTACTGGCTATTGTAAAAAAAAAAGTAATCTATTCTCCTTGTCAATGACAGTGGAACCACCACACTCCAATTGAACACCTCAGTACCTGATGTGCCAGGGAAGGGGAAGTAACACTTGGAAAAACAATGTTGTGAAAAGCTGTTGTATCTAACCATATCCATAAGAGCAAAGCAATTAAAAAAACATTTGAAGAATTTATTTTCAAGTAATTTCAAAGAGAGGATGATCACAAAAAACATGGAAATAGCATGGATATTAACATTCCTCCCAAAAAAAGATGATAAAAAATTTGACACATATGCCTATTTTCTCATTGCTTTAAAAACCTCATGAGAATGGTCTATGCACATTTAATTTAAGTGGGTCTCCTTGATGAAAATTTAAGAAGTTAACAGGAAGGCTTTCACAATCAATTCTCTGTAACAAGTCATATTCACATTTACACAACTGACTAAGAAGGATAGATAATACAACGTTTTACTACCTTTATTGATTTATCTCTAAAGAGACAAAGTCTTTAGGCAGCTAAGTGATGTAGTGAATAGAGTACTGGGTTTGGAGTAAGGAAGATCTGAGATATGTAGGTATGTGAACTTGGGCAAGATATTTAACCTCACTCTGCCTCAGTATCCTCATGTGTAAAATGTCATAATGGCACCTGCCTCCCAGGGTTGTTGTGAGGATCCAATGAGATAACATACAAAATGCTTTAGAAATCTTAAAGGGCTGTTTAAATGCTAGTAGTAGTAGTAGTAGTGTAGTAGTAGTAGTAGTAGTAGTAGTAGTAGTAGTAGTAGTAGTAGTAGTAGTAGTTCCTTAAGGTCCTTACCAGCTTTAACTCCATGATCCTATGACCCTACCATAGAGAAATTCATTCAACAACTCTCTGATTATATCAAGTAAGGCATAAATATTTTCTAACAGGATTCCATATTATGTTGGAAGACACAGAGGACAAAGTCCCTGTGGATAATAATGGTAATAATAATAATAATAACAACAATAATAGTTAGCATTCATATAGCTTTTTAAGATTTGAAAGGTGCTTTTCAAGTGCTATTTCATTTTATCCTCACAACCACTCTGGGAAGTAGGTGCTATTTATTATCCCCATTTTACAGATGGAAAAATTGAGGCAGACAGAGGTTAAAGTGATCTGTTCAGGGTCACATAGATAGGAAGCGTCTAAGGCTACATTTGAACTCAGGTCTTCCTTCCTTGTGGTCCAATGCTCTATCCGCAGCACCATCTAGCTGTGATGAGGGATTCTCTGGAGAAGGTAAAGTCCTCCTGATGCTCCAGTATGAAGATGACATGATTGCACTAAGCTCTGGTATATGTCGGGGTCTCAATAAAGCCATAGCTATTCTAAAGAGATTGGTCTAGTAATTGCTACAGAAAAACCAAGCCCCTGTGGATGAAAATGATTATTTATTACATAAAATCGAATGGAGAGCCCATTCAGGTAATCCATTAGTATTCATATCTTAGACAGCCACTGCAAATGGACCTGGGCCCAGAATTAAATAGGACTAAATGCTCTATATTGTACAATGTTTTCAACAGTCCTAAGCTATTCTCAGCCACTGAAGTCTATGCTTTGTACATTAACAACCTTCTGGTGATGCTATAGATCTGGTGAGTCACTGGAAGAATCAAAATTGTAGGTGACCCAAAGACAATGGATTGATGTTGAAACATGGGTTAATATAAGTTGCCTGCAGCATATTATCAATGATAACTTGTGTATAAAGAATGATATAAAAGATATTCTTGAAGGCCACAGACTGAAAGCTGAAAGGGACATCCCCTCATTTTAGGGATAAGAAAATTGAGTCCTGGAAAGAGAAAATGACTTGCCCAACATCACATAGGAAATGAGTGAAAATGGTAGGATTTGAACCCAGATCATCTCACTCTAAGCACAGTATTCTTTCTACCTCACTATATTGTCCTCATGTGTATGATCAGACAGAGAGATAGATTTTTAATGTGAACCGTCAGTTCCACTTTCTATTTGTTGTCTTCCTTTTATTTGCATCTATGAATATTTCTACATTATGCAGCAAGAACAAGGAATAATATGTTGATAGATAGCCCAAAGGTCCCCTCCAAAATACTAAAATACCAAGAACAAGGCTTCAGGTAAATTATAAAATACCGGCATTCATGAAATATTGAACAACCAGGAGGAAGGCTCCTAGCACACTGGGTCAATTCTATTAGAAAGTAAGCTCCTTGAGGGCAGGGACATAGATGATATAAAAAGAAAAGCTATCAGTGAAAATTGATTTCTTCAACCAGTTGGTCCTATGATCAATTGCTGCTGTGCCTTTATAGACAGACCATTTATAGAAAATGCTTGGGTACATGAATTCAGATCTATTGTTGGTCAAACCACATCCTCTAAGACAACTCCTTATAGTCAAACTTGGTCTTAATATGATTTTGATGATTCTGTCAGTCTACTGGGATGGTCACCAAAGAGGTTCTGATCTTACTGTAAATGTTCTTGTCAAATTGTTTTCTATGGCCGCTTAGCCTAGAGGACCCAGCTGAGTGTAACAATACCAGATTCCTCTTTTCCTCTTTTCCAATGCCCTCACTGGAGAGGAATCTCTGACAACCTCAGCCAAGGTGATCTCCTACAGCAAGTGAGGGGATTCATTCATTCATTCATCAAACATCTGTTAAGTCCCTACTATGTGCCAGGCACTGTGCCAAGTGCTGATGATACAGAAGGAGGCAAAACCAACTGGTCTCCTTGGACTGACTTCACTGTCATCATTCTCCCAGGAAATGAGCAGTTCCTAGCAAGATAGCGTCAGCTTTGGTACTCACACATTTTCAGTATCCCCCCCAATATCTTCTCCCACCTCTGACTGGAGGGCTGGAGGGTAGAACAAGGAACTTCTCCCAAAACTTCCATTGAAAGAGGGCACACAGACCAGTTAAGTCTTCATTTCTTACCTGCTGCACTCGATGTACTGGACTCCCCCTCCCCAACTACTCCCCCACCCTCCCTCTTTTAATAATTCTTTTGTGTATTGTTTTCCCTCATTTATAACCTCCTTGAGTAGAGGGACTAGCTTTCTTTTTTAAATTTATATCCCCAGCACTTCACACACTGACTGGCACATAGTAGATGCTTAAATATTTATTGACTGAATGGCCGAAGGTCCCAGTTCCTAAAGCCAGAGATATATAAAAGACTTTCACTAAGGTAACAAAGATATCATTTTTTACAATGTCCTATTTAAGATTTGTTTTGAATGGATATTTGAAATATTTGAATATTTGAAAGGATGCCTATTTTTATCATATTTCTACAATATGCAATTAGAATCTTTTCTAGTGGAAGGCTCACCAATTCCTGATGATGATGGCTTAACCTAATGACTGCACAGCACCAGAGAGCTGGAAGGGGCTCCTTATAAGACATCTAATCCAACTCTTCTGCTTTATTTAAAAAAAATAAGCTTTACTGATGTCTTTAATTTATATATTACAGTATTTTTTTTGTATATCTCCCATCCCCTCAAATTGAATCTCCCCTTGTAACAAAGAAAGAACTGAGTCAGATCAAGTCAACCAGAATTTATTAAGCACCTACTGTATGCTAAGCACATAATTAGAAAGCACCTCCAAGCCATCTCATTCAATTCTTTCATTTTACAGATAAGGGAGGCCCAGGGAGATTAAATAAATTTCTTACCTATGGTCACACAGACAGTAAGGAACAGATTTGAAACTGGTGTCCCCCCCCAAAGCCAATGCACTCTGGCTCCCTCTTTGCACCCCCCATCTCTCTCTTGGTGAGGCAATTGGGGTTAAGTGACTTGTGCAGAGTCACACAGCTAGTGAGTGTTATGTTTCTGAGACTGGATTTGAACTCAGGTCTTCCTGACTCCAGGGCCGGTGCTCTATCCACTGTGCGACCTAGCTGCCCTGAGCCAATGCTCTCTCTATCATGGTACAGTGGATAGAACATTGGGCCTGGAGTTAAGAAGACCTAAATTCACATCCAGCCTCACACTTTCTAACCATGTGAGCTTGGGCAAGTCACTTTACTCCTGTGTGCCTCAGTTTCCTCATCTGTAAAATGGGGATAATAACAGCACCTACCTCCAAGGATGGTTGTGAGGATCAAATGAGATCGTATTTGAAAAGTGCTGAGCACAGTGTCTGGCACGTAGCAGGTGCTTTATAAATGCTTATTCCTTTCCCCCCCTCACTAAACCCTACCTCCTAACAACGTATATGACATTCCTTTCTGGTAAGTTACAGTACCCGTGTGCTGCGACAAAGGTTGATTTTTCAGTTCCTCAGAATGACGTTTCCCGTCAGTGATGTTTTTGTTTGTACTGCTCAGTCGTATATATTGTTCTCTGGGTTTTGCTTCTTTCATTCAATCAGCTACAAGTCATCTCATGGTTTTCTGAATTCCTCACATTCATTTCTTATGCGCAGTAAGGTTGCACTACACTTGCAGACCATAACCAACTCATTCAGCCATTCCCTGAGTAATGGCTACCACACCCAATGTGTTTCTTGACCTCCACAAAAAGTGCTGCAATGAATATTATGGCAACTATCAAGCCTTTGTTTCTGCCTTTGAAGTTTCCATTTTTAAATGGTGAAACAAAGACTCAATAAAGAAGTCTGCCTGGCCCAGAGCCACACAACAGATTCCTAGAAGAGTTGAGACCAGAAGCTAGGTCTCCTAGCCCCTATCTAGATACTAGAGTACCTTAAAAGGGGCCCTTATGGATGAGAATAATCTGAGAAAAATGTAAGCCCTGATGTCAATCTGTAATTGTGTCCATGTACCTGTGAAGAACATAGATTCAGTCAGAAAGACTCTGTGGCCCTAGGAATGGCACAGCTTCTTGGGACCCCAGGGAATTAATTCTCTAAGAATTACAAAGCAGGTGCCAGTCTGCATTGGTGGAGGGATTTTCCTCATGGGGAGTCTCTTATTCCAATGAAATTCCAGGTCCAGACCCTCCTCCCATAACCCCATCAAAAAAATCCTTAGTCATTTCTACATGATAACATAAATTCCAAGTCTGTGATATATTTTGAGATTTCATACTAATCAAGCCCAATCACAGTGATATACTCCCACATATACTCTTGAAAGCTAGGTAAGAGGAAAGCTGTTCATTTCAATTAGATTGTGCTTTTTCCACATAATCTTGTCTTTACAGATAATTCATTTATGCTAACTATCTGTTTCAAAGTCATGGATTGTAATCATCACTAGGTTTTAGTTCAGTAGCCAAAACTCCTAGTAGTACAGGCATCATTGGAGCAAAGAAATTTGGGGTTAGACGGTAACCACTAAAAATATTTAATGTGAAGTTATCTTGATGGTGTTGGGGGGGGTCAGAAATATAATTTCAATGGCAGAGGGAACTCCTGGTGGACTACATGGTATCTAGGATTCCTTCTAATTATAAGTCAATGATCCCTTTTTAGATGAGTCTATGATTTTCTGGATTAAATTACAAAGAACTGAAAGAATAATAGAAAGACATCCAGTAGGAAGAAAAAGGCTGTATGGTACATTCCCAGTGGTAATCTATGTTCCTAGAGTAGTGTAAAAGACATGGAGAGAGACTGGAGTGAGAGGACTTGGGGTCACCTCCTACTTCTGTCACTCACTGTCTGACAAATGGCCTTTACAGTCCTTTGCAGTCATAAATCTATGACCTGTAATGTCACCTCCTTAAGCCTGAATTTCCTTATCTGTAAAATGAGGGAGTCAGCTCGCTTTTAAGGTCCCTTCAAGCTCTCGAGCTTTGATCCTCTAATTGAGGCTATATATGACCAGAAAAGGTGGTAGGCTGGTCAGGTAGTAAGAAGGAGAGAGACAACAGATGGAGAGCCCAAGTGTACATTTGCAACCCTCCCTGACAATACTTTTTAAAGGGGAGGGAGCAGGGGGCAGAGAAAAGCTTCCCAGTGCATGAGGTGTATCTTTGAGGGAGGATTTATGAAGAAACAAAGACTCATAAAGCATGAAAAGGCATTGAGGATAAACAACCAGCATAGATAGCGTGAGTACCTGCATCAGTGTGATTGAGACTACTTCAAACTTTCAAAGTCTTATCTTCATCAGTTTTTAACTGTGACCCTGGGAAAAGGGCATCATTCAAATACAAAGGGTGATAATTAATGTGGGCCTTCCACTCAGGAGGACACTGGCAGTGTCCCTTCTGGACCAGGTCAAATCCTTCCCAAAGCATGCTTCTTCCTCCCAGTAAAAAGTAGACTATAGTCCAGAGAGGAACACTGCAACAACCATCAGGCCAAGCTTTCTTAGAAAGAGATATATAGCTCATCAGGACCATGGTCAGTGACCCATGAACAATCATGGTGAAGGGGACAACCCCACAGAAATAAAAATGGGCAAATGTCATCCTGATGATCAAGAAGGGGAAGAAGAAAGATCTTCAAAACATACCTTGACCTCACTTCCTAGTAAAATTCAACAATTTCTTACTGAAAGATGGTTTGTGTGTGTTTGAAAGGGGATCTAAAGAGATCACTATGAGTTAGTAAGAACAAATCTTGCCAGATTTTCCTAGTTTTCCTTTCAATAGTTAATGATAATTATAATAATGATGACAAAGGGTTACACTTATATATACTTTAAGGTTTGCAAAGAATTTTACAAAGAATATCTCATTTTATCCTTACTGCATGGATTGGAAGTGTAGGTCCTATTATTATCCCAATTTTACACATGAGGAAACTGAAGTAGAAAAAAAGGTTAAGAGCTGTCATTATCCTTAATTTACAGATGAATAAATGGAGGCAGTTGGAGGTTAAGTGATTTGCCCAAGGTCACACATATAATTGGTATGTGTTAGAGGCAGGCTTTGAACCCAGGTCTTCTTGACTCTAAGGCCACATTTCTATCTACTATACCAGGCTGCCTCTTTATGTAAATAAGTGCTACTGATGCTACAACTCTTGATGATCAGGAGGAAGAGGAGGCTACAAAGGCATTTGAAAAGGGCTATCCCAAGTGAGTGGTTACCAATATCTTTATTAACATCACACACCTCAGCCAGCTTGCCTGAAACAGAACTAAGCTAAGAAAATTGGAGCTCTGTCCCAGGGCATCAAGATTGGTGAAAACATGTGGAGATTCTTCCTTACATAGGTCTCCCATGGCATGCACCTCACAGTTCTCTCTGCTGTGGCCCAATCCTTCTCCCTCACTCAGCCCTGAGCTACTCCCCTCCAGTATCCCACTACCATAGCACCCAATCCCCAAGGACCCACCTTCCCTCTCAATCCCCACAAGAGGCACAATGGATATAGCACTGGACCCAAAGTCAGGGAGACCTGAGTTCAAATCTCACACTCTAGCCAGGTCATTTCATCTCTACTTGCTTCAGTTTCCTCATCTATAAAAAGAGGGTATTAATAAGACCTACCTCCCAAAGTTGTTGTGAGGAATCAAATGGGATAATATTTGTGAAGCATTTTACAAATCTTAAAATGCTATATAAATACTAGTTGTTATCTTCATCCTCATCCATCATTATCATAAGCTGCCTCCTCTTCTGGCATGATTGAACCTTAGCTAGACTGTCTTTTATCCCTGCCCCACCTCCTTACCCCCACTGCTTTTTTCTACAAGCAGACGATTACCTCCACAGTCAGGTTGCTAGTGGTGCTCAGAACTTTTTTCTCTGCATCCTGAAATGCTTTCTGCAGCCTCTGCTCCATCGTCTGAGCAAACTTGCAGGACTGGATGTTGTCTGACTGGCCCACAAACTGCAACACTAGAAACAGAGCAAAAAAATCCGCTTTCACCAAAAACCAGACTTCTCCATCCTCCTGGGCTAACTGTGACCATGATGGCACCTGATGCCATTTTTGATTGTGACATGATGCATGTAACAAGAAGGCCCAACAAGAGTTGCTTGTATACGTTGCAGCACAGCATTTTAAATGACTTTTTAAGTAGAAGAATTGGAGGGATGGCTAAAGCTGAGGCTGCCTACAGACCAAAGGATTTCATTTCATTATAATAAATGTATCTGTTAGCATCTGCTCAGGGAAAGATGGTAGCATGAAATGGGGAGATAACTATCTTCAAACTGTTTTCCTTAAATGCAACAATGCCCAGTCACTTGTATAACTAGTTCCAAATTAGTAGAGTACATCAACATTCACACTCTCCCACCAAAATTGATGTTAAGTGGACAGCCTGGTGTAGATGACTAGGCCAGGAGTCAAAGAACCAGATACAAGTCCTGGCTTTGCCTGTTATTCATTGTGTGACCAATCATAGCTATCATTACACATTCCTGGGCCTCAGTTTCCTCATCTGTAACATGGAAGTGAAACTGCCCTGTTTTCCCTTCTCTCACAGTGTTCTTATGAGGATCAGATGAAATACTGTATGTGAAAGCATAAGGTAAACTATAAAATATGAATGAAGGACAGTAGAAAGAGCCTTGGATTTGGAGACAGGGCACCTGAGTTCAAATCCTAACTCAGCTCTTTATTACCCAGTTGATTTTAACCAAGTTGACACAGTGGAGTAGATACAGAATTGGCCTTGGAGTCAGAAAGACCTAGGTTTGAATTCTGCCTTGGTCATTTCCTATGTGATCCTGGGCCAATCAATTAACTTCTCTGGGTCTTAATTTCTTCACATGTAAAATGAAGAAGTCGGGTTTGATGACCTTGAAGGCCACTTCCAACTCTAAATCTAAGAGTATACACCTATGGCCCAAGGAGTTGTTTCATCTTGGATTTAATACCAGGAAGACTTGGGTTATATCACTAGCAAATATCCGAGACGGAACTTCAACCAGGTCTTCTGGATTCCAAGTCTAGAGTCCTCTCCACTATAACATCTTCCTTCTTGACATAAATCTATCTGTGAGCTGTTGTTATTGGCTTCCATCTTGAAACTGTGCTTTTTAACCAGTTATCCTCTCTCTTTCATTCTCATCCCTGTGAGTAAGATGGTTCTCTCCCTTTGACAATCCGTCCAAAGGTCCTCACCGCAAGGAGGGACTCACCTGTCTTCAGCTGAAAGGCGTAGGCTGGCTGGGGGTTCCATGGCAAAGCCAGGACTGCCACGGACTGCAGGTTTGGCACGTGCTGCTTCAGGTCAGCAGTGACATTGCTAATGCCATAAGCAACCAGGGTCTCAACAACAACAGCAGGAATATAAACCAATTTCTCCTTAGTGACATAATAGCCAACTGTCACATTGTGGGAATGGTCCAGAATTTCCACCTGAAAGGAAGAAGAAAAAGGATATAGAACCTGCCACAAAAACTTAACTTCAGCTTCTTTTCACAGTGCTCTAAATCTGTTCTCCCCTCAACAAGTGCCTGGCACACAATAATTGCTTGCCAATTGACTGATTGTTGGATTTTATTGGAAGTGAATCATGTTGGGTCACAGTACAATAAACGATTGGCCAGTGTAGCCAAGATATATGATACTCTGGCCAAGAATGTTCCAGCTAATGGAAGATGACCGGCTATGCCACACAGAGATTATTAATTTTCAAAGAATTAGAATAAAAGAGAATATGATTGATACCACAAACGGGGAATGCTAATACTCATGAGGGCTACCGTGAGGACAACACTTTATAAATATTTTAAAACTATCGCTGATTATTTTTAGAAATGGAGTCAGTCAGTTGGTGAGTATTTAGGAAGCACTCACTCACCATGTGCCAGGCTAGGGAGAGAAAGAAAGGTAAAAGCACTATTTATGCCCATTACATGCTCACATTCTAAAACAGGAGACATACATTAAAATAAGTAGGTCCATACAATTGGCCTAGCAAAGTGTGGAAGGGCTCCTTAGTAAAGAGTCTTCTCTGGTTGAAAGAAGGCTGAATAAAAGTGCTTTGTCTTATATTTCCTATCACATAGTAAAGTTGAGGACTGGGTGTAGAAAGGGGTCCTCAAGGCCAGCTTCAGAAATGGAGGCATGAAGATTTATCTGCATAGAGTCCTCAGGCACAAAATCCCACTTTATTTCATATGCCATTTATTCAATCAATCAATGAGCATTTATTGAGCACCTACTGTGTTCCAGGCACTGTGCCAGGTGCTGGGGATACATATACAATAAACAAAACAGTCCATGACACCTTGAAGAACTTTATTTTCTTGGATCACAGAGTTAGAAGGAACCTTAAAGACAATCTAGGCTAACCCCATTTCCCCAGGATTTAAATTTAGCTACAAACTACTTAGAGCTGACGAGAATGGCCAATGCTATGTACACACCCCAAAACATTGACTACAATGGAGGAAAGTCTGGCAAGAGGGTCCTTTTGCTATGAAACTCCTAGGGCCAGTAATTACTGGAAGAACACTAAAGACTCAATAACCTATCCTAGTCATGCCACTCTATGTAATGGAAGGGGCATAACAGCTAGGTGGCATAATGCATAGAATACAAGGTGTAGAGTCAGCAAAACCAGAGTTGGAATCCTGCCTCAGATGCTTACTGGCTGGGTGACCCTGGGCAAGTCATTTAACCTCTCTGTGCATCAGTTTCCTCATCTATAAAATGGGAATAATATCTTTCTCACAAGGTTGTTGTGACAAGGAACTGAGTTAATGTGTAAGGTGCTTTGCAAATCTTAAAGTGTAGTAGTAGTAGTAGTAGTAGTAGTAGAGTAGTAGTAGTAGTAGTAGTAGTAGTAGTAGTGTGGTGGTAGTGGTGGTGGTGTGGTGGTGGTGGTGGTGGTGGTAATAGTAGTAGTAGTGGTGGTGGGGATGGTGGTATTAGAAGTAATGGTAGTGATAGTGATAGTACTAGTAGCAGTGGTGGTGGTGGTGGTAATAGTGGTGTAGTAGTAGTAGTAGTAGTAGTAGTAGTAGTAGTACTGGTACTGGTGGTGGTGGTGGTGGTGGTGGTGGTAGGGATGTTAGTATTAGTGGCGATGGTAACGGTAGTGGTAGTGGTGGTGGTTGTGGTGATGGTTCCAGTCCTAAGTTGGCCACCTCCTAACTGTGACCTTGGGTAAGTCATTTAATCCTTTTACTATGTTGAAGGGCTAGTTGATACACTCTCATCAACAAAATTGCATAACATTCCTGATTTTTCAAAAGACTTTTTGTGGTTGAAAGAGGACTGCCTTCAGTCAGAAGGTCTGAGTTCAAGTCTTGGCCTCACTTCATTTACTAGCTTGAACAATTCACTTAATGTTGTGTGTGTGTGTATACACACACATACTATTACTTATAGGCTTTAGAGAAAGAAGATATAAGAAATCACTGAGTCCAATGCCCTCTTTGGACAGATGAGGAAACTTGGAGCCACACAAGTGAAGTCACTTACTCAAGGTCACACAGTCAGAAAGGGGCAGGGCTAAGATTCAGGAATCAAAACTCTCTGAGCCTCCATCTCCTTGTCTGAAAAATGGGGATGATGAGACCTACACTATTTACTGCAGGAGTTTGTTGTAAAGATAAAATGGGATCCCATAAGGAAAATAATTTGTGGAGGTCATCATCATCATCATCATCATCATCATCATTATTATTAATTATTGTCAGTTCATAATAGCTAATAATATTATTTTATACAGCCTTTTAAGGTTTGCAAAGTACTTTACATGTGTTATCTCATTTGATCTTTATAAAAACCCTGTGAGGTAAGTACTATTATTATTCCCATTTTATAAATGAGGAAAATGAGGTAGTGAAAGGTAAGGGACTTCCCTAGGGTCCCACAGTTAATAAGTGTCTAAGACAAAATTCAAACTCAGGCTCTTCTGACTCCAAGACCAGTGCTCTAACCACTGCTATACTCTAGCTTCTCATGTAAGTTATACATCTCTCTTTCACTATGAATGCTTTTGACAATGCCTGTTTTCTTTGATTTATAGTATCACTATGGAATGTTTATGAACATTAATTTTTAACTTTTGATATTCTAAATCAGAGAGCCTTATCCAATGATCAATGAATGAGCTGATACCTTCCTCAAGGAACTGAATGACATAACTATGATTCTCACTATAACTGAAGACAAGAACAAAAGTTAAGCTAAATAGAATTATGGCTCATAGATTCTCCCTGAGGCAGCAAAGAATAATAATTGACATCTGTACATTATTTCAAAGGTTTAGAAATTCCTTTGTATGTAATATTTTATTAGCTCCTCACAACAACCCTGTCAGACATTATTTTCCCCATTTTCCAGATGAAGAAACTGCATCTTAGTGAAGTGACTTGTCCATTTTCATACAGTTAATAAGTGTCACAAGTAAGAGTCAAACCCTGGTCTCTCTTGCATCTAACTCTAGGGCTCCTTCTACTACACATCACTCTGCCAATCAAATAAAGATACTGACCAACTTGTTTTATTGTACACACAAAAAGCAAGAAGAAACATCATCTCATAGGATACTTGGTCATGTTTTTCAGTGCTTATGAGGCATGTAGGCAAAAATACAACCAGGCCCCTATTTACTAACATCTGGTGCAAGGGATGAAAAAGCAGAGACTGTACAAAGAATATGATAAGATCTTCCTAACGAAGTCAACATATACTTTGACACTTGGTGACTTCAATGTGAAGTTATGAACAGGGGAGGATCCTCTCCTCACCAAAATGTTGGAAAACATGGTTCAGGATTCAGAAATGAAAGTGGCCAAAAGACTTGTTGACCACTTGGAAGTTTCAGATGTATACGTATATCACCAATATTTTCTTCAAGAAAAGAATCATTCGATGGAGACTTGGTAAGCAAGGAGCAGCATCAATATCAAAACATCAAACGTAACATCAAAAAATTGAAAATGGGTATGTTTTATGGAAGAGAAGCAAGTTTACTAAAAATGGAAGTCACTTCAGAATCAGTCATTTGGGTAGTCAGATGACTGACTAGTTCAAAAAATGGTAAAAGTAAACACCAAGTTAGAATAAAGGATAAAGATGAGTTAAAGACTCTGTATGCAATTACAACAGTTCTAACTCAACCAATTCAAATTAGCCCTCAATGCTGGAAAATGGGAACTGGTCCAAGACAAAGATGTTTAATTTTATTATCACCAATATAAGGTAGTCACCACAAAGAGGAGGCCAAAAGAACCCAGAAAACACTTAAGTGAGCAAGCATTAGATCCCTTTGCCAGGAAGAGAAAGACCAAGGATGCCACCAGTCTAGAAAGCAAATCTAGTTGTAAAACATCATGAAGGAAGATGTTGGAATGTTACATTACTTCAAAACAGAGAAAAGCAATTGAGAGAGAATGAGCCTACAGAAATCTTAGTATGAATCCTAAGAAAAATCTTAAGAGCATTTACAGTTCAAACTGGAAAGACAACACATAGATGGAAAATAGATCAGATTTGCCAGTATTTAGGTAACCATCTATTCTCACTACCAACACCAACACCACTTCTTTGCTTTTAACACCTCAGTGCATGATAAGGAAGTCAGAAGGACACTTGAGAAGATGTGGATACACAGTAGCTGCCTTTAAAGTAGTTGGGTTGTCAGCTGGAAGGTGGATTAGATTTGTTTTGTTTGGTCTCAGAAGGCGGAGCCAGGAGCAAAGGGTGGGCGTTTCAGGGAAGTGCATTTTGGCTTGATGTCAAGAAAAACTTCCAAAGGACACTCAAACGTGGAATGGGCTGCCATAGGAGGCAAGGCATCCTGCCTCACTAGAAGTCTTTAAGCAAAGGCTGGATGATGACCTGGGCAGGAATATGGTGGAAGGCACTTCTTGTTCAAACGTGGATTACCCTTCATGGTCTCCAAAGTTATTTCAAACTCTTTGATTCTTTGAAGGCAGGAGAAAAAACAGCTCCACCAAACCGAGTACACACAGAAGAAATCCGTGCTACATGTAGCAGAATTTAAAAAGCATTAAGGGATCAAATCTCAAATTTATCTCAAGGTACAATATCAAGTACTTGGGGAAATGGACATTATTATTACTCCCCATCGCTCCCTGTGAAAATCAGCCAAGAAGATAGCAGTAACTGCTGACACAAATACATACTTTCTCTATAAAACCCTTACGAGAAAGAACTATACATGGATCAAGGGTATCTTTGATGAAAACATGTGAAGAGAACAGGCAGGCTTTTGTAGATGATTTTCTACAGCACACCACAATTCTGTGGTCAAAGAATTGGCTGAAGGGTATAAAGTTCAACACTCTAGTGTTTATTTATTACCAAGAAAAAAAAACCATCTGACTCAGTAAATCATTATGCCACCTTAAAAGATCTTTTCATGAAGGTATAAAATTATTAAAAATAGAAAAAACTTGACAGATATGATCACACAGACAACCTTTCTCAGTGATTCCTTATTAAAAACAGGCAGATGTATGTTTGCCAAACATGCTTACTATGGTCATGGAAGATGCCCAGCATGGAGTCTAAGGAAAGGGAAGAGGTTTGTTTTTTTCAATTGTCATTTTTTGTTTTTGTTTGTAGAGAGTGAAGGTCTTTCAGATGCTTTTGTTTGCAGATGACATCAAGCCCCAAATACCATAGGGAATACTCAATGAGATCAACAGTTATTCAAAAGCAACTGACCTAACATTTCATATGGGAAAAACCAAATGGATTAAACAATGCCTACCACACAAACATAAGACATGTAGTTGTATGGGAGGTTCTACTGTCATATGTCATGTAGCTATATGGGAGATTCTATTAAATTAGCCATCAATATCTATATATCTATCTATAGATATATAGATATAGATAGACATATAGATATAGATAGATATAGATATCTTAGAGAGGCACTAATGATGGACAGTAAGTGGACCCAAAATGAACAGGAAGAAAAGTGGACAAGTTTACATCTGGACAATTATGCTGTTTTTCAATGTCCTCAAGCTTCCCCTCAAAATAAAAACTCATTTGTTTAGTGCCAATGTTCTCCTGGTAGTGTTGTATGGCTGTAAATCATAGAATGATTCAATCTAAAGGATTAAAACTGTTGCAACCCAAAGGAAAATGCAAAGCATAGGTAGTCCCAAGTATATTATAGACAATTTGCACACAAGAAGTTTTTTCAAGAGACATCATGCAGAACACATATGATCAGAAAAGGGGGTGGGCTAGTGTTGCATAAAGAGCGATGTATCACAGACGGACAGTCTCTGTGCTACCACGATTACTACAAAATATTTCTAAAACACAGACAAAGGTTTTCAGTATGTTGGGTAGATTCACTGTGGAGGTCTGATCAGAGAACAGAGAATTACATAGATTGAGATCGTGGATAAGTTGAAATCTGCACCACTGGAGGAAAGACTTGTGTCTACAAGATCAAATATTGATTAAAATATACTTCATCTATGACATGGGCTCTTAACCTAGATCCGTGAACTTTTTTTTTAACATTATGATAGCTGTATTTCAATATCACTGATTTTCTTTGTAATCTGATGTGTTTTAGTTTACATATTTAAAAACATTCTTTAGAAAGATCCATAGGCTTTGACAAACTGCCAAACAAAAAAAAGTTATTAAAAAATAAAGCTCATTAGGAGCTTTCATTAGGAGCATCAGTACCATTTTCTATAGAAACCCAGCTCTAACAGGTGTCAGCGTGGCACTTTTGATTCTTCTAACCTTAGAGTCCCTAAGTCTCACTTAGCTATCCTCTTTACCTTGGCTTACATCTCCATCAGATAATCCAACCCAGCTACCACCAATTGCAAAAGTTCATATTTTGAACCATTAAATCCAAATTCTTGGTGGAGGAAACAGATTCTTTGGAACACTGTTCAGAGGGGGAACAAGTAGGGAGAACATTCTCTTTTTCTAACCCTCAGAAGTGCTAAGCTAAGCACCACTGAACTACAAAATATTCAACAAAGAGAATGAAATGTATGTGATATGAAAGGGACTTGGGCTAAGTTTGACAGTGGTATTTGGAGTGTCCGATTGCCAATTAGAACCTACATCATCAATTCTGATTCTCTAAAGCGTTTAGAATTACGGCATTAAAAACCTGGATAGGGCCCAAACAGGGCACCTATCATTCGTTCTTTAGGTGATCAAAGTCAGTGAGCAGTTGCTAAATAGTACTTGGCATTCTGTGGCCGAGGAACACATCTCCTTCCTTGTCTGTTGCTGGCAATCCGACTCAAGTCAGCCTTAATTCATGAGTCTAAATGACTTTAAAATTTCCAGATATAAATCACTAGCCATTTTTGTGGGTAGTACAGTTAGAAGGAAAAGCAGTGGGCAATGCTTGTTGGAAACTCTATTAATAAGCCAAACTTCTTTGCAAAACTCTGGGTAATTGGCATGTTTCACACATTGTCAACTAGCAAATGTCAATTACCTAAAATTTGTCATTCTCTAAAATGGGCCTTTGTTCCTAATGACCTGCCTTTGCTAAGTAACTGAATAAGTAGTGATAGCTCTATCTATAATTAGCTGTGACACCTTGGACAAACCACTTCCCTTCTTGGGGCCTCAGGGTTCTAATCTGTAAAACATGAGGTTTGAGCTAATCAGCAGTTCTTAACCTGGGGCCCATGAATTTGTTTTTTAAAAAATATTTGGATATCTGTATTTCAATATATTTGGTTTCCTTTATAACTCCTTGTATTTTATTTAATGCATTTTAAAACACTATCCTAAGTTGGGGTTTATAGGCTTCTCCAGATTGCCGGCAGGGTCCATGAGACAAAAAGATGAAGAACCTCTTTATTAGAAGGTATCTGAGGTCCTTCTATCTCTGACCCTCTGTGATTCTATGACCCCCTCCCCCACTCCCTTACCCTTTCCTTTCTATAAAACTTGAATGCTAGATGATCTGTGAGAAGAGACGCTTCCAGCTCGGATATTCTAGGATACAATGATTCTTTGACTTTAACCTTCTGGGCCTCAGTTTCTCCATGTGGAAATCCTCTCTGTTCCTAAAGAGCTGCCTTTGTTAAATAACAGGGTATTGGTTTCACCACTAATTAGCTTTGGACATATCACTTGACCTCTCTGGGATTCAGTTTCCTTTTCTGTAAAATGAGGGGATTGGGCTTGATAACACCTTATGAGGTCCATTCTGGCTTTGGCATTCTTTGACTTCATGTCTCTGGACCCTATCTTCCTTGTAGGTTCATTGAGAGATAGAGGAAGGGCCAGGGAGGGGCATGGCCCAGGAGATAAGCTGTAAGGGTTCCTTCCAGTTCTATTATTCCGTGTTCTGTTACTGAGGCAAGAGAGCCATGTCAGGCCCTTGAGGCCTCTCTTCTAATGTTTAAGGAATGTGTATAGTCACTATGAGTAAAAGAAAATCTAAAACTCTAGTTGGGAAGAAGAGACACAGGTGGATTACTCTGATTTCAAACAGGGGCAAGCAATGGTAGCTTACGTGTGCGTAGATATCGTTCTGGCGGAAGGCTTTCTGCAGTGCTTGTGTGAGCCCTTTGGCTACATCAGACCTCAGGGAATCATTGATCTGCAGCCTCCTCTGGGTGAGAAAGAGAACTGTTCAAAAAAACACACACACATTAGTGCAGAGCGGTCACATTCCATGCTTTCAAACAATCTGGTTTTAACTGGCCTCTCCTGTATGAGTTCTCCATAAAAATGGTGAACACTAACCAACCTGTTCAGAGCCCTCAGTGAAGGCCCCACCAAGAGCCCCAAGAATAGAAAGTCCCAGAATCCACTTAAAACGATGAGTATAAACCAAATTGTAGCTATCTTTCCATGTGATGGAAACTGGAGTCAGGAGGTCTGAGGGGAAAACTGAGGCTCTATCTGAAAAGTATGATGTGTATCACTCAGGGCCATAATCATCCTGGGCCATTTGGGGTCATCGTCTTACCTTGGGGAGCACTCAAGCTTGATCTGGAGGAGGAAAGCATTAGGAAGGCAGCAAGAGAGGTATTGAGCAACAGTTAAAGATCACACTTGTCAGGCTCCTCCCGGGGAGGACGGGGAGGAGGGGAGGAGGGAAGGAGGGAATCTTTTTATGCTGAATCAGCAAAGGGAAACAAGAAGAGAGAGGCATCCAGGGCTCACCAGCATTCATGTGCTCCCTATCATTAGCCTGTTGAGCCACCAATCAGCATCAAGCTGGCCACGGCTGGGTTTTTTTGTTGTTGTTCAGTGGTTTTCAGCCGTTGTCTGACTCTTCGTGACCCCATTTGGGGTCTTCTTGGCAAAGACACTGGAGTGGTTTGCCATTTCCTTCTCCAGCTCATTTGACAGATGAGGAAACTGAGTATAACAGTCAATTAAAACCAGCTCTGGTTGTCTTGATATTGATTGACAGCTCAGTTACCAAGTGAAATTGACAGAAAGAAAGAGAGAGAGGAGGAATGGTTCTTATCCTCTTCCATTTTAAAATGTGCTCCATAACTATTTCTGGGGCCCTGATAATAAAACATTACTGCATGAGGCCTTCACACTACCATTGCCTCTAAGGGTTTCTATGAGTAGCCTAACTCACCTACATCTACAGATAATAATGAATAGTAGACATGGAGGGAAGATAGCTAGATGTTGAAGCAGATAGAGCGCCAGACCAGCAGTCAGGAAGACTCCTCTTCCTGAGGCTAAATCCAGCCTCACACACTTACTAGCTGTGTGACCCTAGGCAAGTCACTTAACACCATTTGCCTCAGTTTCCTCATCTGGAAAATGAGCTGGGGAAGGACCACTCCAATGTCTTTGCCAAGAAAACCCCAAATGGGATCACAAAGAGTCAGACATGAAACATAAGCTCCTAGAAGCTGGAGGAGATATTAGTCTTTATGCTAGGACTAGGCTCAAAGCATCCTCTTTTAGACTGGAATGTATTTAAATATATCATTTCATTGCATTCTTAGTTTGGGGGGTAGTGAGAGAAGAGTAAAAAAACAGGGATAGGTGCACTCAGCATTGACGTATTCTTTAAAATAATTTATCAACCCCCTTTTTATAGCAGAGCTAAACAGCACTATTAATAGCATGCTGTGTGTTCTAGGCCATCTCTTAAATGCAGTCAGAAACTGCATTGCATTAACCCTACTGCTGCTGGAGGGATTCAAAAGTGCCTGTGAAGCTTAACCAGGACCCTGCCTTTTCCCAAGTAACATTAATGCAGTTGCATGGCATGATAGATAGAGGACCAGGTTCCGAGACAGGAAGATCTGGATTCAAGTTCTGACTCTGACTGGGTCAAGTCTCTCAGCACTTCTAGGCAACTCTAGGAATGTAACAGATGACTTGTTGACTTCCACCAGTTTCTCACATCAAAAACATCATAGATGTAATAAAAACAAACAAGCAAAACACCAAACCCCCAAAACAAAAACACCGATACAGAATATATTATAACCCAGAAACTATATTCCATAATTTGCTTAACTCTTACACTCTCTTAGAGTCCAAAGGGGGAAAAATACTCCACCACTACAAACTAAAAATTTTTCCCTCCCATCTCTAAGACCAGGATGCACTATCGTTTCCAACTGTTTCTTACCTGTCTTCACCATTAGTTTCCTGGACATCTGACATTCTAGATTCAAGGTGGTTTTGCCAGTTGTGACCATAGTAGTTGAAGCCACTGGGAGAGCAGCTGACGTGTTTTCCACGGGTAAGGGAGGGAGTTTAGTCACCTTCCCTGATGTGGTAATAGATGTCAGAGCTGCCATGATGGTCAGTGGGAATGTGGTGGAGATTCTGGGCGTTTCAGAGTTGGTTGCTTTGTGGTAGTCCGATTGCATGGCTTGAGATTTTCCAGGGAAATGTGTTGTTGACAGCCTCGCAGCAGCTGTGATCATGTTCGCCTGCACGGCTCTGTGGGTCGTGGATACGAAGGGGGAAGCTGTGGGCATCTCAACTGCCTTGGTTGTACTTGCCGCCATCTGAGAGCCTGGTGTTCCACTGGGAGTGCCATTTTTAGCCAGCACCGGGGTCAGGGTGCTTTCGGCTACCATTGGTGAGGGAATGGAGAGTTTGTTTCCAGTACCCTTGGACACTAAGGCGGCAGACAATGCAGATAGAGTGTATTTTCCTAAAACCTGTGTGGCTGTTGTTGACGCCACAGTTGGTGCTGCCTCAGGGGACACAGAAGGGTATGCTGCAATGAAAGAATAAGTACAATTTGTGGGTTGGTCAGAATAAAACACAAGGAAGGGGCATTGGTGATGAATGGATGTCACTTATGAAACTATTTGCTTGCAAAGGGTTGGTGCTCGGGCCATGCTGGGACGGGGAGATTTTAGGTCTAATAGCTTTAGACTCATTAGGTCAGAAAAGTTGTTATGAAAACACCATTTACGTCAATGCTGTGCTACTACTCCTTAATAAAAGCATTTAAATTCTGAATGCTTCTGGACAAACAAATGGCCAGAAGGATCAGAACCAGGGCTTCTCAGGAGCTCTGTCCCATTACAAGGAGTGTATGTATATTTGTATGTCTATGTGTTCCTTCAGAGTAAGGCTAGAGAATGATGTTGAAGTTGAAGATGCTTTGGCTGTGGAAGTGGTCATACCTGTGTGTTGGGAACCCGGAACCAAACTACCTGCGTGAGTAGTTGCAACAGTCCAATTCTCAGGGACTGGAGAAGTCAGCGGTACTTTGGGTGTTGTCTTGAATAAGGCATGAGTTAGCATGGGAAGAACGGTGGCAGGGAATGTCCGAGGCTTACGGGCGCTCTGGAATGGCACAGAAGTGCTTATCACAGGCGATGGATGACGAGTACTGGCAAATAAGGTTCTTGTCTCTGTTTCCCCCGAAAGCATTTCCAGCAAGCTGATGGGAGGAGTTCCATCTGATGAGGCTGGTGGAAGAGATGTTAAAAGTGGAGGTGATTCTGAGGGAGGACGTGGAAGGAGATGCTGATTGGCTGTTGTGAAAGCTTCATGTAGAGCTAGGTGTGGACTGAATGACGCTTCAAGGTCCCAGGTGACGTTTTTGTGGCCTGTGGGCCAGAAGTCTGCAGAATTTCCAACAGCAGTAACTTGTGTGGTTTGTTCTGTGCTTAGATTAAGGGATGGATACTGAACACTGAACCCCTTAGCAAAGGTCAGATGCAAATCAGTATCTCTGACATCTGGAGAATGTGTCACTTTGGCAGCTGAATTCGAGCCACTGGGAGCAGTGATTTTGGCAGAATGGGTCACTGAAGGTACAGGACTTTTTTCATGTCCATTTAAATCATAACCTTTTTGGTGAGACAAGACAGGCATCACTGATTCTAAGAAATGAGACTCAGTTTCTTCCGGAAGAAAAGTCCGGGAACCAATTGTCCTCATTAACTCTTGGGTTCTTGCTGGTATGGAAGAATGAAGAGGATGGGCTGCCTCCTGCTTAGGGAATGAAGTGGAGACTCTAGAAGTATTTGCAGGTGTCCTCCTGACCTCAGACTCAGCATCTGCTATGGGAGAAGACTTCAAAGAAGCAGGTAATCCCTCTGTCGGTGGGATAGGAGGAACAGGCAATTCTGACAGTGTGAGATCTGTTCCCCGTTCTGTGATGACAGCAGCTGGAATGTGATCGGTGGTCGCATCTGATGCGGCCTCACTTAAGGTGGTGGTCTCCTGAGTGGGAATGGCACCAGGAGATATCACCATATTGGCTCTTTCATTTCCCATGAAAGCACCCATCATGCTGCCTTCTTTCCCTAAAGGAAGACTTGCAGTTGTAGAGTGATAGACAGAAGACTGGCCTGTCTCCACGAGGAGCAAGTCTGCAGGAGTCCTATTCTTGTTCTTTTCTTTAGAAGGTGGATTTTTTGCCACCATAAGCAGAGGAGATTCCCTGCTTTGGGACGGCCATGGGAAATTGGGTGTGGAGAAAGAAGCTGGTTCATTTTTCATTGCTGGTGAAGAGGCGGCATGAGTAGCAGTTGCTTCACCTGCAGCTGCAAAAGACCAAGTGGCTGGCACCAGAGAGGAAGAGGCATGTTTCACAGAATGGGACATTGCCTTCACATCCTCAGGAGCTGGTGACAAATGCACAGGCTTGTTTACAGTAGCAGGGGCAGGTTGACTGTGTCTCCTTTCCATGGAAGCAGCTTCTCCATCTGTACTTTGGACAAGTCTGGACCCCACTTCAGGCATCTCTGATGAGTTCTCAAAAGCCGGCCAGGACACACTGCCATGGGCCCTTTTAGTCACTCTTGATTTGAATGGTTGAGTGCGGACTGGGCCTGAAGAAGACATATCTGTGAACTTCAACAATGTTGGGGTTTGACTTGGAAGCCAAGGTAGACTTCCAGGCGCAACTGGTGGGGGAGACAGATGGGGTATGTCTGGCATGGAACTCACAAACACAGATGTAGATGGGCTTTCTGGGTGCAGTCTCTCACTTGGGGTCAGTCTAGAATACTGTGTTGTTGTAGATCCAGAAAAATCCAGACTGAGGCTGTCTGTTAATTCTTGGGCCTTTCTGGATGGAGGGTGACTTGTTTTACTGGAAAGAGGGTCTAAGGGCTTATCGGTACTTTCTCTATGGGAAGAATCAAAGGGAACTGTCTGGGGGAATGAAGGCACTTTGTCTGGTAGCTGAGTAGGTTTAGAAAACATAATGGTATGAGGTGAGCCAGCAACTGATGAAGAGAGGGATGGCGATGGAAGAGCTGAAACAATGTCTGACCCTGGTGTGTGCTGGTCTGGAATGGAAGGTGTTCCTAATGGCATTGGCTGAGATGACAGGACAGCACTTGACAATGTCACAGATGGGTTTGTGGACAATGGGACAGACATGTTGGGTTGAGGCAAACCTGACACATCAGCTGCTTCATCCGAGTCTCGATGTCTTGGGTGGGTGAGAGTCTGAGCCAACTCCTTGGGAGGATCCAGGGACGCACTATGCCCACTCCCTTGATAGAGGGCAGAAGAGAAATCTGTCTGAGCCCTAGTTCTAGGGGGAGGGTGTGCCAGTGTGGACTTGATTATCTGAAGCAAGCTTGCATTTTCAGGGAAATGTCTCGTGGGGTCCTTGAACCTGTCAACATTCGAGGAAGACTTTAATTCCCAAGAAGGCCATGTTGGTGATGTTGATGTAGATCTCCGAGGGTTTGTAAATGATTGTGGGGTTAGGGTGACATTCATCCGCAGATGGTTGGTACCTGTAAAAATAAGGAATATTCATGCATTTTAATTTTGTCATCTGGTCCCCACTGGAGGAATGAATCATGAAAGCCACGAGTGGGATAAGGCAGGTTTTCCATTTGGTGGTGATAAAATGGGAATAAATATAATTAGAAGACACTGAAATATAAAACCACCACATGAGAAAGGGAATGAAGTCGAATGGCAGTATCTTCTCTAGACTGGTAGCTGCACTTAGCAGCAGAAAACATCCAGCATAGATACACTGTGTGTGAAGCATGAGGAAACTGCTGTTTAAACTACTCAAGTTTGGAAGTATTTCACCCATGTGAAATCCATCTTACACTGGAAAGATTCCCTGAGGCTATTCTCTCAATCAAAAAAAGTCATAGGAAATTTCCTTTTCCATGTTCCTGTACAAAGGAAAAATGCTCAGAGCCAGTCAAAGACAAGGATCACCATGCATATGCCCAGAGGGTCATTCATTACAAGACCTCACTTTTTTTTTTTTTGCCAACACTGCATTGGGAAAACAACAGACAGAAGCGCAAGAGATTGTTAAAGTTATAAAAAAAAAAGACTCTTAAAGTAGAGGAACTAGGGAGAAAAAAGAGCATCAGATAGTTCGACACTTGACATGAGCGGTATAATCATATGGCAAATAGGGAAGCAAGATCATATGGCCATACAACTAAGGCTGGAAGGGCCACTAGAAGCCATCTAGTCTAATGTCCGCATTTTGTGGATGAGGAAACTGGACCCCACTGGTGAAATGATTTGTGCAAGGTCACCCACAAAACAAGTGACATAGCTAAGATTGAAATCCTGGTCTTCTGGCCCCAGATTCAATGCTCTTTCTGGGACATCTCACTTCCTTTCCTTTCTCTCAAATTCCAAGGTGGGATACTAATGAAGAATTCTGTATATGGAGGTGAAAGGCTGGGATTCAAAATCCAACTCTCTGACATTCGCTAAGTGGGTAATCTTAGGCAAATTGCTTTACTTTTCTGGGCCTCATTTTCCTCATCTCTAAAATGAGGAGATTGGATTAGAATGGTCACTGACTGAGCTCCCTTCCAGCTCTAGACTCATGATCCAATGACCCTACCTCTAATATATCTTCCACTTCTAAATCTGTGACCCTATGATTTCTGATTCCATTCATCCAAGTAGAATGTATCATCCACGCCCTTTTCTTTTCAATCTTTTCTCGTCTACTGGCTGTTTCCTCATTACCTACAAACATGCCCATGTCTACCCAAAACCCTTGCTTGATGCATTCATTTCCACTGGTCACCATTCTATAGCTCTCCTTGCTTTTGTTGCTGAATTCCTTGTGAAGGTCACCTACAACTGATGCCTCCACTTTCTTCTCATTATATTCTTAAATCTCTACGGTCTGGCTTCTGAACTCATTTGACTAAATCTGCTTTCTCCAAAGTTACAGAGATCTCTTCATTGCCAAATCCGATGGCCTTTTTCTCACTCCTTATTCTTCCTGACCCCTCTGCAGCCTTTGATGCTGATCATCACTTTCTCAGGGACCCTCCCTTTTCTCTAGGTTTTTGTGACACCACTCCATCCTAGTTCTTCTCCTACCTATCTGACTGCTCCTTCTTAAGTCTTCTCTGCTGGATCCTCATCCAGATCACTCCCTCTTACCTTCGATATCCCTCAAGATTCTCTTCTCTTCTCCTTCTATACTTCTTCACTTGGTGATCTCATCAGCTTCCATGGATTTAATTATCATCTTTATGTTGATGATTCTTAAATCCACCTGTCCTGCCTCAGTCTCTCTGCTGAGTTACAGTCCTGCATTTCCAACTGCTTACTTCAAGTCCCAGCTAAGATCCTACCTTCTATAGGAAGCCTTTCATGATTCTCCTTAATTCTAAAGCTTTTGAGGATAGTTGTAGAAAAACCTGAGAAGACTTGTATGAAGTAATGCAAAGTGAAGTAAGCAGAACCAAAAGAACAATTTATACAATAACAATATTTTAAAGATAATCAACTTTGAATTAGTAGCTCTGATCAACACAGTGACTAACCATAATTCCAAAAGACTCATGATGAAAAACATTATCTACCTCTGGATGGAGAGCTGATGCACTCAGAGTGTAGATTGAATCATATTTTTTTCTTTCTTTCCTTCCTTCCCTCCATGTTTCACTTTCTCCCTTCCTTTCTTCCTTTTTCCTTCTATCCTTCCTTCTTTATATCCTTCTTTCCCTCTTATCTTTTCCTCCTTCCTTTCTTCCTTCCATCCTTCTTTCATTTTTAATTTTTTTCCATCCTTCTTTCTCTCTTTCCTGCCTTCCTTTCTTCTTTCCTTCTCTCCATCCCTCCCTCAATCATTTCTTCATTCTTTCCCTTTTTTCTTTCTTTTGGACATGGCTAATCTGAGAATTTGTTTTGCACGACTATACATATTTGTAAAGGATTTTGTTTTTCTTCAATGGGTGGGGGACAGAAGATGGAACCAAAACAAAATTGAATTTTATAAAATATTCTAGTGCCTTCCCTCTGTTGATTATCTCCAGTTTATACTAGAAATATTGTTTGTACATACCTGTTTATATGTCATCCCTCCCATTAGACTGTGAGCTTCTTCACAGCAGAGCTCTTTTTTGCCTCTTCCCTCCAATCCCTGTACACTCACCAAATATTAGACCCCAAATCCCAGAATAGACTAATTTAAGCTCTGGTTCTAGCTAATGTAGATAGTAAATCCCTTTTCCATCTACAGGGAAGGTAAAACTGCAATGATTTCTGGAATCAGCCATTCCAGTTTTATTTTGTAAGAACTGAAGGAGGAGTGAAAAGGGAGGCAGGTTTTTATTTCATCCTGTGCTTGGCAACCCTAAAAAATTCATTTTTATTCTTTTAACACTGTCTTGTTTTTTATGTTATTTTACAATCCCACTCAACCTAAGCCTCCCATTGAAATGGGGCTTAAAGTCACTTCAAATAATAACAGGCAGGAGTAGTTGGATTACAAGATTTTACAATGAAAAGCTAAATTTTTTCTCAGCAAAATATGGGCATCCAGTGGGCTTTACTACATCTGTCACCAAATGCTACTTATGAAGGACCTTTGCATACAACTCAGGGCATGATATATATAGTTCTTATCCTCTAAAAACTTACATCATAAAACAGGATATATCAAATATTCTAGGACCTCCATCTACATACACAATGTGCTGCGATAACATGCATACATACCAGCACAATTATGACAAGCTCAAATAGTATAGTATGTAGCTAAAGGAGACAAATATTCTAGAGGTTAATCATCAACTCCCATGTGTTTTTGAGGACTGGATGGCAATTAGGATGCGGAAGTTCAAGTCATCAAGCATTTATTAAATGCCTATTATGTGCTAGGCACTGTATTAAGTGCTAGGGATATGAAGAAGGGCAGAAAAGTGGTTCCTGACCTCAAGGAGTTTACATTCTAATAGGAGAGACAATATGTAAATAACCAGGTACATACAAGACACATCCACAGCAGATGGAAGGGAAAGGGTGTTTCATTGAGGCAAGAGATGTCAAGGGATCTTAAAGGAGGGGTCTGAGCAGAATTAGAGAGAACATAGGTGATCTAGCACTGGTGTGTGAGAAAGAAGGAGCAGAAAAATCAAAGAAAGATGAAATCACACACATACATACATATAAAAGAAATTTTGGCTCAGTGTTCTTGACAGTGTTTAGCATAGTGCCTGGCACACAGTAGGTGCTGAATAAATGCTTACTGACTGACTAACAGGCTCAGAACTTTGGACTGGATCTAATAATATAAGATTTAATAGGAATAAATGTAAGTCTTGTACTTAAGTTCAAAAATATCAGTTCTACCAGTTGGAGGAGACAACAGTTTGTTGGGAGAAAAAAGATCTGGGGGTTTGCATATAAATGCAAAATGAGTTAATCATGTGATATGGCAGACAAGAGGCATAGTTTCCAAGAATGAGGACATGAAGAAACCATCTGCTCTGGTTGAACCACATTTAAGGATTATTGTGTTCAGTACTTGGTACCACAGGGCAGCTAGGTGGCACAGAGGATAGAGCATGGGATCTGAAGACTCATCTTCCTGGGTTCAAATCCAGCCTCAGACACTTCCTAGCTGTGTGACCTTGGGCAAGTCACTTCACCCTGTTTGCCTCAGTTTCCTCATCTGTAAAATGAAAAGGAAATAGCAAACTACTGCAGTATCTCTGCCAAGAAAATGCCAAATGGGATCATGAAAAGTCTGATGCAACTGAACAATAACAGTAACAACTTGGTACCACATTTTAGAAAGGGTATTGATAAACCAGGGAGTATACAGAGAAGAGTGACCAACATGGTGACAGGCCTCAAGTTCATGCCACATGAGGCCCAGCCAAAGGAACTGGGGACCTTTTTTATCCTGGAGAAGTGAAGATGTAGATGTGGGGGGACCCAGCAGCCCTCTTCAAGTCTCTGAAGAGCTATCATATAGATTTATTCTGTTTATCCCCAGCCAAAACTAAAAGCAATAGTCAATTTGAAAAGGGGCCAATTTAGACATGATTTAAGGAGAAAACAATTAGCTCTATTCAAAAATTGAAAGGACCATTTTGGGAGGTAGTGGATTCCCATTATCATGGGTGTGATTTCATGCTCCAGTGGGAGGAAAGGCTGGTACAGTAAAAACAAGGTTCCATAATTCTCTTATTTCTGCATTTTTTCTTTTTCCTAGTCATCTTTCAGGTCACTAAGTAACCAGATAACTTTGACCACAGAGCATTGAACTTGGAGTCGGGAAGACCTGAGTTCAAATCCTGTGTGATCCTAGACAAGTCATCTCTCTCAGCATCTGAGTTCAAATCCTGCTTCAGACACCTATTAGCCATGTGAGCCTAAGCAAGGCACTTAATCTCAGTTTGCCTCAGTTTCTTCATCTGTAAAATGAGGATCATAATGGCACCTACCTCCCAAGGTTATTGTGAGGATCAAATGGGATACCACATGTAAAATGTTTTGTAAATCT